CACAAACATAATTACGCTAATCAATTTATAACTTTAATGATAATTAAAATATGCATCAACTAGAATCACCTAACACCTTTGGGTATATAAATAAAACTAGTGACGCACACAAAATTATCTACTTTCATGTTCATTAATTATAATAACAACTAATCAACCTTTGGGTGATCCTGAAATGCCTTATAATAATGAACTTCAATTAACCCATAAATCATTATTCATAATTTTAGCGTTCATACTATAGGTAATTGAAATAAAATCATTAATAATTTGAAATCAAAATAACCTTAAAATTTTGGTCACTTTGGTGACTAACAAAATTTATCATGCTTAATTTCAAATAAATAACATCTTTAATTGCTATTAAACATTCATAGCATTTTTTTTTATTAATTTTAATAAATATGTATATTATTCACATAATAAAATATTATGTGTCATGAATAAAATTGAAACTCATAATTTCAATTTTCATCCTAAGATTGATTTTCAATCCAAGACCTTTATTTGCATTTCACGTAAAAGTGAAATTGTCATCCATTCAAAACTTTTATGAGTAATTTAAACACAGCGGAAACAATACAATTCAGTTTGCAAAACAAGATTCGTTCATAATGTTTACATTATAGGTACATTAACAAAGCTTCACAGTACATTAACAAATTTACAGTATATTAACAAAACATTATATTAACAACCTTAACAAAGTTTTACAGTACCCATAACAATATAGTACCTATAACAAAGTTTTACCGTACCCTACGAGTATGAGTATATTATACAACTCACTTTAACATAAAAATAACTCTTTAATTATCCTTCCCCCACATAAAAAAATATGTACGTACAAAATAATGTACAAATAATATGGGGACAAAATAATATAGGGGAAAATGGCTTTAGCAGATCACCAGATCACCAATATGTATATACAAAATAATATTATAAATAATATAATATAATATATGAAACATATGTGTTTAACACGTGCTCTCTACGTGCAAAGTTTATCAACTTTACAGTTTATCATTCTTCCATCATAATTATAACATCTCATCATAATTATAACATCTCATCATAATTATAACATACAATGAAACTAATTTCATACATGATTCATCCTAACCCTATCACGTCATTTGCTTTTCAATTAGAAAGGATTACAGGGTCATTCATGCATAGGGACTATAAAATTGGTTTCAATTTGAACTTGAAAACATAATTAGGGTTTATTCCTTTATTTAATTTTGAGAAAAATAAAATTGGGAATAAATTAGGGTTCATACTAATCTGATAGAGAAATTCCTAAATTCATAATTAGGGTTTATCTTAATTTGGGAAAAACATCATTTGAGAAATATTTTCATAAAAGGAAAATCATAAATCTAATAATCAGGCTCTGATACCACATGTAAGACATTATGTAGTTTTCCTACGTTCTTAATTCATTATAGAAAACTACTCTACAGGATCTTTAGATTATTGATTTTCACAATTTTACATACACCAATACATGAATCATAATAAGAAGACTAACCTTGATCCATGAGAATCTTTTCTTTGATCTTTTCGTTCTCCTATCTCCTTTTCCCAATCTATCTCTTTGTCTTTCTTTCTCTTCTCACGCTTTGCTTTCTTGATGGTTTACCGTGAAAAAGACCTTATATGACCAGAGACAGAACCTTAATCCTTTTTATTAACCAACATCCATCAAGTTGGTTACCGTAAGTTAATATTTTATTTTATCTTTATTTTATTCTGACTTCACATAATAACCAATAGGTCATCATATTTTATTAAATCACATTTGGGCCCATTATTATATTTCACATGAGTCATATAATGGAATTAATTAATTAAATTAATTCTAACATTTTCCTATACTGTGATTACTTTTTACTTTACATTTTTTTCAGCAAACAAACAAAACCAATTCGTTATTTAAAATTATGATGATATAATAATAATAATAATAATAATAATAATAATAAATAATTTATTTAAAATTAGTTTATCATAATAAATAAATTATTTATTTAATTAAAAAATATTAAATATGTATAAGTTGAATTTATTTTTTTATTTAATAATTTAATTTAGCTATAATTAGATTAGGTTATTATGATTAGTTGAATTAAGTAATTTAAAAATTTATTTAATACAAATACTTTAAAATAAATATTATATTATTTTCAATTTTAAAAAAATAACATGTTTTTATAAAATTTCAATATAATATTTTAAAGTGGAAGAATAAGATAGAGTGAGAGAAGAGAGAAGAAAAAATAATAATAAAAAAGTAAAAAGATAAAAAAGAAAAATGAAAGAGAAAAATAAGAAAAAAATTATTTTATATTAATTTTTTTTCCAGAATTCTATATGTGAGGAGTAAATTAATAAAAAGTAATAGGATATATAATAAATATATCTAATCAAATAAATAAACCAATAAAAAAACATTTTTAAATAAGTTTTGTTTTAAAATATATTATTTATAATGATAATCATTAAATAGGATATGAAACTCACAATTTTCATGATGACTTATGAAATGATTCTTTACTTGAGTAATATTTACTATTCTTTCAAACTACAAAACCATGAGAGAATTTTAAAATAAGATTGACACTCAATTTTTATTTTTGATTTTAATAAATTTGACAAATAAAATAATTGGGTTCAAACTAATGTATTCCTAGCTTTTTCTTGTTTAAATAATTATTTAAATGCAATAGTATCAAACATGGTCACCATTTATTCTAAGACAACATGCATTCATACCATCAAATAACAAACATCATAATTAAAGCTAAAATGGGTAGTTATAGGTAGGAACAAAAGGGACATAAAAGAAAAATAAAAGTGATTTATTTATTTATTTATTTATTTATTAATTATCTTAAAGAATTTGTAGTTGTAACATTACTTGTGTGAGCAAACCTAGTACAGTGTCCATTCGGCCAGGCATGCATACTCAGTGTTTCACTCAATAATATATTACTTTAATAATAAACTTTAAATAGCTTTTCAATACCATAATTAATAATTTTATGTATTTATATACATCGTCACTTTATTTATAAAATAATAAAATTTATAATTCCAAAATAAAAATCATCTATAATGTCCTTTCAATAATATTTTATAAATAAAAAACAATTATTATTGAAAATAATATTATAAATATTCTTGTTCTTAGCATATTAAACATTTTAAAAAAATATGTCAATATCTTATTTATAAAAATATTAAATATATCAGTTGATTGAATTATTCACTTAAAAATAATCTAATTGTTTTAATTAATATTATATATTGTGGTAGTAAATTAATTTTAGTGTCAGGGATAAAACAATTAGAAAATATAAAAGATTTAAAAAGTATCAAAAAATTTACATACACTAATAGGATAACATTTACATGGATTTAAAAGATATAGAAGTCAATTATTTTATACTAGTTAGTAGAAAAAAAATAACATTATTTGTATATATTACGTATACTTTTAGTATATTATAATTATTAATTCCAAAATTACGAAATTTATTTTTTTCTTTGGAGATTATATTTTAAAAGTTATTTTATAATGGTATAGTATTATAATATCAAAATAAATATATAGAAAATAAACTATAACTTTAGGTAAATTTAAATAAAAAGTAAAAATTAAGAAAAAAAATACAATATTAAATTATTAAATTATCAATATAACTTATGTGTAAAAAAAAATTAATGTAAGATTAAGAAAGCTTAAAAACAAATAATTTCAATCAATGTAAAATTAATTATAGTCAGTTTACAACTGAGAATGTATTAATTAATAAAGTTAGAAGGTTAAGTGACGCCACTAACCTTAGTTAAGGGGAAGGTGTTTACTGAACATTGAACCTAACAAAAACTGTGTCAGTGACCCTACACTTGTCCCAATCACAACCGAAACAACCAGCCTCTTGAAAGTAAACGATGTTCGGTTTCTCTATTTTACTTCATTAGAATCTAAGAGAGACCAAAACAAAGTATGACAAATGACAAAGTAAACCAAAGGTTTTTATATTGTGTTTTTAATTCCAAAGAATTCACACCAATGCTGCAAGTTGCAGCAAATTATCACACAATCTGTATTCAAACTCCCTTTCACTATCCCTCACAATCTCATGTCACAACTGGCCTTTTCAAACTCTTAAACTGAACCTTACAACTCCAAAATGATCACCAAGCTTTAAAAAATGCATGCTGTAATGTGAACTTGATGGGATCAAGGTGTTGACTTTTTCTCTTGGAAAGCTTCAAACTGGTATTCATACTTTTTTTTACTGTACTTTTGATGTTTTATTTGATTATATTTTGCTTAAACATCACCTTGTTGCTATTACATAGTTTGTTTGTTGTTAATTTTGGAAACAAGCACTGATGCATGTGAAGGTAGGAGAACTTATTTTGCTGTGTTTATCGACCCTGCACACCACAGTAACTAGAGGTTGGAATTTGGATGTACATGTATCTCAATGATTAGTATAGTCAATGGATGTTTGGTTGGTTTCTACCAAGCTTTAGAGGATTTTACAGAATAGGATTCTATTCTACTAGAAGGGCATTCCATGTCCATAAGATTATTTCACCTCTTCACAGCTTCTTTTCTTTCCCCCTTCAAGCATTAAGATATTTTCCATTTAGAATCACTTTTAACTTTCTGAAACATTTAGATTGAAAAATTTTTGTTTTTTAGTTTTTAAAAGGTGAGTTTGGCATCAGGAAAAATGTTAGCAGTAAATTTTAGAAACGAAGATACTTTAGCTCCCTTGTGTTGCATTAAAATTTATCTGTCTTTATCACAGTTGTATGCTATTTGGCTTTCTGAAGCCGAAGTAACTATTTTGTCATTTATATTCTTCCCTTTCAAGTTTCAAGCTGAATTGCATTATTTAGATTTTAAATGTTATTATTCATGAAAGTATATGTTGAATGTTTGTAAAAAAAAATAAAATTACAGAATTGTAAGCATGGCGGATTTTGAAAATGGTGAGCTGGAGATGATTGCAGAAGAAACAGATGCGCAACCATATCATGAAACTTTGCATTCCAAATTCCAAAAGCTTTTACCCAATACACAAAGTGTACCAGTTTCTATTCCCATGGAGTCATATGAGAGAGAAACAAGTCTCGTTGGACATGGTGGTTCATTATATACTACACCAGAAACTGATGATTTGCAGCAGAATATAGTTGTAACAAGAAACAACATAGAGGAGACCAAGATAGATAAATTTTCAACTTTCGAGGGCACGGCTTCAAATTATTGGAATAAAAGCTATGATAGCACAAATGAACATTTACTGAGATCTGGACAATTAGGAATTTGTAACGATCCTTATTGTACTGCTTGTCCTACTTACTTCAAGTCTCCTCAGCTAGGAAATCCAAAAGCTTGGAATAATCCTAATCCGAAGGTGTTTATCTTTCTTCCTATAGTAGATACTTGTTTCAGTTGCCTTTAATTATAGTTAACAAATTTGTTCTAGATATTTTGTTTTTGTGCTCTATATGCTTAATGAAGCCTTGTTGCCATATTTGTTTTGAGGCTAAGGGTTGGTTTTAGAAAATCACCTCTAAAACTATGGTTAGTTACAACAACAGAAACCACTTTTAACTCTCAAGACTTTCACTAGTATTATAATTTGAACAAAAATTCTTAAGTTCTTTGGAGCATTTCATTCACTTTACTGCTAAAAGATTTCTGTTGTTATCTCTGTCATTGTTCAATTTGAGAGTCAATAAAAAGTATTGTCAATTAACAATGTCGTGATGTCTCATTATTTTATCTAATCTTTATTTTCCAAAGCTCCTACAAGCTTTTCTTTATCATTATACTTTATCTTCTGGTAACCTTTTTCCATTTACTTTTCCAGATATTCATCATTTACTATCACTTTCACATTGCCAATTGTACTTCAGTTTTCAATGTTTACATTTTCAGAATGCTCTTTATGGGAATGGCAAAGGTTTCTCAATATTTTTTTTTTCTTTATGTTCATCTCTTATTCCTGGAGTTATGAACCCTCACTCTAAATTCATCCAACATTGGAACAAGGTTCTGGCCAGCGTTTGTTTGGTTGCAATTTTTGTGGATCCACTATTTTTCTTCTTACTCTATGTTCGGCAGGTATGAAATATATAATTATTTTCCTTTTATTTATTTACAAAATTTTGCAAGTTCTAATGACATACCGTTTTTTGCAACTGTTAAAGTTAGATTTGCATTTCTACTGTGCAGGATCGTAATTGTATAGTTATCAACTGGAACATTACAAAAGCACTTGTTATAGTTAGAAGCATGAATGACTTCATTTATTTACTTCACATTCTTCTCCAGGTAACTTCCTAATAAACCACCTTTTTAGAAGTACCCTCTCCATTCCCCCTTCTCTAACTTTTGCAAATCCATATATTCATAGAATAACAGTTTCTTTGCTTGAAAAACATTTTCAAGTTATTTCCTTTTCTTTTAGTCATTATGTTGGTTTTGAGAGAATGAATATTCTGATAAATGTGTCAGAAGAGTTTATGGCACCAAATTAACAGGCTTTAGGCTAATAAAACCTAACTCAAATGTAATTATGTCTGAAATCTTGTAGAGCTACCCTTCATTCTCATTACAGCCACCCTTAATTTGAAACAATTATTAATCCATAATTGCAGAGGATTGTTCTTCCAATATACAAACTGTAGAGTATTTATTTATTTTTGTTGAATAGTATTTACTATTTCCCTACATCAACCAACTTATATAGAATGGACTAGTCTAAAACTATTATATTAGGACTTTCTCAGGTTTTTTAGCAGGTATGACAATGGTTGTTAAGTTTTTAAGTCTAGCTTGCTTCCTCTTCAATAACTCTACCAAGTTTTCTTGTCACAGTTTAGGTTGGCTTTTGTTTCTCCTGAGTCGAGGGTGGTTGGTGCCGGAGATTTGGTTGCTCATCCAAAGAAGATTGCACTTCGTTATCTGAAGGGTTATTTTCTTCTTGATTTATTTGTTGTATTTCCTCTTCCTCAGGTAAATAATTTCTTCCCATTTACATTTCTTCTTTTATATATGTATATTCTTTCCACTGAGTTTGGTCCTTGTAACTTACTTTTTAAAGGTATCTATATGAATTTACCTCCCAATTCCTGATTATGAAATATGCCAGCCTAAAAAATAAACATGAATACTTTTTATATTTGTTCGCGAGTTCCTGGACATAGTCAGTTTTGAGACAGTACATTTTCTAGTCATCTTGTGCATTATATGTTCTTGTTACAATTCAATTACCAGTTGTCTTGTGTCTCAGACATATAAGTAAAATTGAGGTTTGAGGTTTCAATTCCTTTATTGTTTATTTTGAGATATCAATTATTCAGTTATGATATGTTTCTTCTAAATAAGGAATACATGGAAAAAGCGGTATACTATGATAGAATCAACTGAAATTACTGTTAATTGTTAAAGACTTAATACCTATGACGCGCAGAGAGTCAAATAATTTTTATCTTTCTTGTAATATACCCAGATAATGTTATTGATTGTCCTACCACGATCATTGAAAGGAGCAAATTATGCTAAGAATGTTCTCCGTGCAGCGATCCTAGTACAGTATATTCCCAGATTATTCAGATTTCTGCCTATGCTGTTTGGTCAGTCTCCAGCAGGATTCATATTTGAGTCAGCATGGGCAAATTTCGTCATAAATCTTCTTATTTTCATGCTTGCTAGCCATGTTGTTGGCTCTTGCTGGTACCTCTTCGCTTTACAGGTGAGTAAAATATGCATTTGATAGCTTATTTCAAAAATACCAATTTACTTCTTCTTTACAAGTTCCTATTGCACCCTAAGTTCTCACCTTCATTCAGTATGAGGCAAGTTAGTGGTATCAGATACGAATTGTTTGCCTGCCATCAAATCCTGTTAAGAATAAAGATAAAGATTAACAAAAAGTACTTGCTTGATTAATTTGTATACACATTTCCATGTGTTTGTAGTGAGATTGCTAGGCAGAATGAACTGCTTTGTCATTATGATATTAATAAGTCCAATGTCCTTGTAGATACTATTTCAGTCTTGGCTATAAAATTCAACTGTCAAAGTAGTAAATGAAGGTTACCATTTAACTTACTAACGTTCTTCTTTTCTCTCTCCCTTCTTCCAGAGGGTTAATCAATGTTTCCGAAATGCGTGCCATAGTTCTAATATCCCTGGATGCCTGACATTCATAGATTGTGGACATAGACATGTTGTACTCAATGAGCAGAGCCTATCATCAGACCAGTGGAACAACTATCCAGATGCTATTGCATGTTGGAATTCCTCTTCCGGTGGTTCTTTTACTTATGGGCTTTATGCCAATGCTGTACCTCTTACTACACAAATAGATATAGTCACCAAATACATATATGCTCTATTTTGGGGATTACAGGTATGCACTATATGCTCGTTTTTAATTGTTTCCTTCTTTCAATAGTAACTTGTACACAAGAGCGGGATCGAATGATACTGGTGTAAAAATTTGATGCTCCTACACTATTCAAAAACTTTTAAATGCATACAAAATGGTTCACTAACTCAATATCAAATCATTTATCAAGGTCCAACTAATATCAACACTTAAAAACTGAAACTAGTGAATGCATATGAATGGTTTAATATCTCAGTAGTTATACCAATGTGATCTTTATACAGCAAATCAGTACTGTGGCTGGTAACCAAACACCTAGCATTTTTGTGTGGGAAGCCCTTTTTGCTATTGCCATCATGGGATTGGGACTTCTGCTTTTTGCGCTTCTCATTGGAAACATACAAAACTTTCTGCAAGGTCTTGGACGCAGGTTGAATTTATCTAATACTGCAAGTTTTATGCAAACTTTGATGTAAGTGCTATGTGTTTTATGTTGTAACATGTTTGATCTCTATTCTTCTCTTTTATAGGAGGCTAGAAATGCAACTTAGAGGCCGTGATGTTGAGCAATGGATGAGTCATCGACGCTTGCCAGAATACCTGAGAAGGTGTAATATTTCTCATTTTTTTCATGAACCATGTCAACATTATGAATGAAGTATCTGTCTATTCTCTTATATATATGATTTGGTTCCATTAGTGAATATCTCTCAGTTATTGTCCCTTCGTCATGACCTAACAGTTATTTAGTACATATAACCCTATTATATATAGAACGTCTATAGGCTAAGATTTTCAGATATTGTAGTCTACTGTTTGTATTTTATCTAGGTATGTCGTATGAAGTAATGGATCAAACGAATGTAAAAGTTATATAAATGATATGGTTGATATGCAGGAGAGTACGAGAGGCTGAACGGTATAGTTGGACTGCAACAAGGGGAGTGAATGAAGCAATGCTAATGGAGAATTTTCCAGAAGACCTCCAAGTAGATATAAGACGCCATCTCTTTAAATTTGTTAAGAAAGTAAGCTCGAGAATATCTGTGGCGTAGATTACTAGTTATGATTACCCCAATTTATCGTGCTTACACCTTGAATAATTTGCAATATGTAGCTTAGATCTTAAGTAAACTTCATAATTTAATCCAGTCTCTTCCATTTTTAATTTTGTTTTGCTTAATTTGGTCTCTACTTGTAACCTGCTATAGTTGGATGAAATCAAATATGAAGACAATTTGAAGGAAAAGCATTATGTATCCTCATGATCAATCTAAAATTCTTCAGGTTCGAATATTTGCTCTGATGGATGAACCTGTCTTAGATGCCATTTGTGCAAGACTAAGACAAACAACTTATATTGAAGGAAGTAGAATTTTGAGTTACGGTTCTGTGGTAGATAAGATGATATTCGTGGTGCGTGGTAAATTGGAGAGCATTGGAGAAGATGGAACCAGAATTCCTTTATCCGAAGGGGATGCTTGTGGTGAAGAACTCTTGACATGGTATCTTGAGCATTCTTCTGTCAGTGCAGGTATAGCAATACTTTCTTTCTTTTATGTTTTTCCCCTGTATCCTCTCTCAGAGACAATCCTGTTCAGGACATGGTGTATCATTAATATGCTAGATGACTGAACATTCCAAAATAGAGGTAAGTAGTAGAGATATAATAGCATGATTCATCAATTTGATTTCTCCTACAGATGGCAGAAGAGTAAGGCTTCCAGGACAGAAGTTGCTTAGCAACAGGACAGTAAGATGCTTAACAAATGTGGAAGCACTTGCACTCCGAGCAGCAAACCTTGAAGAAATCACAATCCTCTTCACAAGATTCTTGCGTAGTTCGCGTGTTCAAGGAGCCTTAAGGTCATTCTCTTCTCCTGAATCTATATTTATGATTCAGTATACTCTTCTTGACTTATGACTTGAAGAAAATGAAAGTTAACTAATGATAATTGGCACGAACACAACATTATTAGCACATTATGTGTTTTAAACTTTGGCATAGAGTGTTTGTGCTTCTTAAGCTTGACACATGACATGGCTTAGAGCGTTTATACTTCTTTCTTTGCCTTGATTCTTTAGAAGACATGACTAACATAAGATTTGATAATTGTGTTGAAGGTATGAATCACCTTATTGGAGATCCCTTGCAGCAATCCGCATTCAGGTTGCATGGAGATACAGAATGAAACGACTAAGTCATGATAACTCCAAACTTTCAAATTAAACATTGAGGTGTGACAGTAATATTTTGGAAGTCTGTAATTTGTATATATGAAATTTCTTACAACCTTGTTTTTAAATAAATGGTTCAAATATATTTTTTCACACAAATATTTGTTGCTTAGTATAATTTAAATATTTTGTTTGATTTTTATATAAAATCAATTATTTCGTTAAATTTTTAATTATTATCATTAAAAAAAGTTGTATATCAAAGTGATATGTATATTAATGTGTATAGATTTAATTGCAATAAAGTTTAATTTCATGAAAGATGGGAAAGTAGTCAAATTCGCAAAGTTTTCCTGACTTAAAATTCTCTAACTTTAAAAATTAAAAACTTAATAAAATAATAAATAATATATAAAATAGAAAAAATATTTAATTATATTAAAATGAGTGTGTGTTTATGAAAAAATAATTATTATCATAAATAAAGATACAATATATTGTTTATCTAATATTTATATTTAATATAATTAAAATATTTTGTTTAATCTTCAAGTACTAATAAGTTTTTAATTATCACTACATAATTCTAATAATACACATATGCAACTTTTAATCTTCTATAAAATTAAACTTTCCTATAATTAAAACCACATGCATCATTTAATATTTTCACATAATATAAAATTAATTATTTTTTAATGATTGATAATTAAAATTTTAATGAAGTAATTAATATTAGATGAAAATAAAATATTATATTTAAATTATATTAAATACAAATATTTATCATAATTATAAAAAAATATTTTTTTACCTTAAATAAATAACTAGATAACTATCTGAAAAAAAAATCATTTTGTAATGGAAAATAAATGTTAATTTCCTCGATTAACTAATTGTAAGTAAATACTTCCAATAACAAATTAATGCTGATTTTCTTTCCTTTAACATCATAAGTAACACAAAAGAATAAAAATTTATATGAAAAAAGTATGAAATTGCAAACAATATATTTTTTTTCTTATCTCTCTGGTTCTCATAGGATTGTATTGGTTTATAATTATTTAAGTCTCTTCTCCATTATTCCAAATACTAAGAAATTGTTTTATTTATTTTTGTTTTTTAGTTTTAAAAAAATTAATTAATTATAAACTATATTTTTAAAAATAAGTTGAAAAAAGAAATCTTGTTTAATCACTTTATTTTATTTTAGATTAAAGAGAATGACACCATAATAAAATAAAAAGTCACTACAAAAAACTTTGATCAATTTTTAATTTTTAGAAATTAAAAAGTAAAAATAATTTTTATAAACGCCTTAACTAAAAAACTTATCAAATAAGTTTTTTAGTTTTTAAAAACTAAACAAAAATTAAAAACTATTTAAAAAATCAAAATAATTATCAATTCTTTTCTAAGCATCTGGATGAAAAACGCTTTACGTAAATAAATAATATAAAAAACATTAAAAGAAAAAAATCAAAAGAACATATAGATAATTCAATTTAGAATTAATAATAAGCAATGATTAAGCCTTAATTCCAGGTTGCATTTTAAAGCTAAAAATAAGAAAATATTGATTAACTCACAACCATGACGTCATGACTTTTGTTTTCATAATAATAACCTTTAGGTTTTGTCATATGATTATAAAATCTTAAGTTATATAGTTATTTTTATATCTACAACTTATTTTCTTTTAATAATATTATGGTTTTAATATGTGAACATACATATTAACTATAAATTTTTTAATATGCTTGTAAAAAATTATTATAATTAATTTGTTCCAAAAATATTTAACTTTTTTCAAAATTATTTTTATTAATGAGCAAAAATAATATAATTATTTAAAATATAAGTGATTATTAGTATTATCAATTCTAAAAATTAATATAATTAAGATTGTAAATAGTAGGTTGATAAAATTTGCGAAATAAATATATTATTTTGAAAATTGAATTGCACCTACGAGTTCAACTGGTCTAACATATAACAGAAATAAAAATTGATGTGTTTTTAAATATTTGGATTTGAATTAAATCAGGAAAATTGAGACAAAATGAAGAAAATGGGTTAGATTTTTTTTCAAACCGATTTTAATAAAAAAAAATAAGATTACTTTTTTTCATAAAAAATATAATATATTTTAATTTTTTATTATGTATTAATTATATCAATTTTAAATAATAATAATAATTATATTATTATTTTATTTTAATAAATTATCTATTTTATACACTTAATTATATTTTATATTTACAATTTTTATAATAACTTAAAATAATCATGAGAATAATTTTTATTATTATTTTTTTAATTATTAATAAATTTATTATTTACATATTATATTATAAAAAATATTATTTTATTAAATATTGAAGAAGTATTTAAATTTTTAACTTATATCGTTGTTGATTTAATTATCAATCCAATTTTAAAAATATTAAAAAGAACTATCGAAATTATGGGATGGTTTCTTTTCTTGTACCACTTTTGACTTATTATCAACTTTTTAACGATTAAAGTAAATGCTGAATTATGATTTATGGTCTTTTCGCCACAAAGAATCAAAACAAACCCAATCCAAATCTTTGGTTTGTTCTGAAACAAAATCTATCAGTACTGTAGTATATACTTTATGTAATGTTCAAATGTAATTTATTTAGTTAATTAAATATATAAATTGATGATTGCTTATCATCATTATTACAAATATTTTATAATTTTTTAATAAATTAATTATCACAGTGTAGAAAACATTACAAAAAATTTTAATATTATCGACGATTAAAATCCGTTGGTAATAACAAAAATCCGTCTGTAATATTTATTTATCGACAGATTTTCGACAACCAAAAATCCGTCTGAAATTTGGTTGTCGGTAAATATTACCGACGGATTTACTAATCCATCGATAAATGTTTTACTGAAATTACAACTGGACGTAAATCATTGGTAATATTTTTATTATTTATTAAATATTAGAGGCTGATACTCTAACCACTAAGCTACTAGAATTTTTTTATAATAATTTACAAATAAAATATATTTATATACAAATATATTTATATACAAATATATTTATATATTTATATATTTATATATTTTATATATTTATATATTTATATATTTATATTATATATATATATATTAATATTTTATATATTTATATTTTATATATTTATATTTTATATATTTATATTTTATATATATTTATATTTTATATATATTTATATATATTTATATATATATATATATATATATATATATATTATATATTATATACAAATATATATATATATATATTATATACAAATATATATATATATATATATATATTATACAAATATATATATATATATTAATTATATATATCTATATAAATATATATTATATTTAAATATATATATATATATATATTATATACAAATATATATATATTTATATATTTATATATTATATACAAATATATATATATTTAATTTTTTTAATTAGGTGTAATTTACCTTAATTTAATTAATTATGAATTTACAGACGGATTTACCGACGAATATATTTGTAGGTAAATTCATTTGTAAATTACTTGACGGATTTAGTGACGGATATATCCGTCGGTAATATCAAATTTCACAAATATTTTATATTCGCTTGGTAATTTACGTCAGTAATGATTATTTTCAGACGGATACAAATCCGTTCAGTAAATATCCGTCGATAATACGCGAATTTTTTGTAGTTAAATAAAAAATAATATAATACTTAATGGTTTAGTTAATTAATTTAATAAAAATATATTTATCGTAATGTATTAATTATTATAATTATAATAAAATAAATATTTCTCAAAATTTCAAAGTGCAAGAATCAGTGGCAAGCATAAAATTTATCAATGATACAATTTTCTTTTATAATAATATAATTGGTTATCCCTTGTTCTTCTATTTTTTTTTAACATATGTGTGGTTTAAGATTTTGCTATATATATCAAGAAAAATATTATTTTTCATAAATTTATTATTTTTTTAATGAGATATTTTTCATTTTAATATTTTATTTTCATCCAAAATTATTTATAATAATATGTTATCTTACCTATGTAATCAATATAATTAATATAATTTTAAACTTTACAAATAATATATAACTAAAAATAAATTTCAAAAAAATAATAATTAAAAAGAAAAAGAAAATATAAGATAGTAACATACTACGGTTTGGAGAGGAATTAATAAATATGGTTGTCACAGGTGAGATGAGTGCAAAAACAAAATATTAGATAATTTTTGTAACAATTGATAAATTATTATTATTATTGTTATTATTATTATTATATAATATTTATTAAAAAATAGTTTTTAATATCATGTTAAATATATTAAAAATTAAATTAGTATATATTATCTGCAATTTAATATAGCTAATATGTCATAAAAATGTCATTTATATCTTATAATTCGAATAAAAGTTTCATAGTACATTATCAAGTTATTTATATTAATAAATTATATTTTACATGTTATTAATTAATATTATTATAGTATTGGTTAATAACATAAACATTTAGCAATCATATAATTATATCTTTACATAGTGATTGATAATAGAGTATACTTTCATTTTTTTTAAATAAAAACTAAAAAAATAATATATTCAAAGTTATAGTAATATTTTGGCATGATTGTTTTAAAAAAAAATTATTTGAAATTTTTATATGATCATGTTTTATTCACATAACTTTTTTTCCTATATTACTTACTTTATTTTTAAACGATTAGTTATTTTAAAATTTTGTCAAGTTAATTGAATATGAGTAGATTGTTCTAAAATTTTAAATTGATCATGATATAAATTTTCTTCCTGTAATGAGCTTTTTCCTATTCATAACTTTTTCTTTTCAAAATTATAAGTCTTTCTACAACACTTTTTAAAATTTTCTTAATTAGTAAATTAAAAATAGCTTTCATTTTAAAATTGTTTATTTTTTATTTAAAAATGTTATGATAAATTATAATAAATATACTATCATATAGAATTTTTATAAATGTTTTTTCTTTACATCATGAAATGATAAAAGTTTTTATTTTTAAAATAATTACTTTAAAGTGTAGGTTTAAGATTATTTCTAATTAATTCTTGACATTATAGAGATCATTACATACTCATAAAATTATAGATTATAATATATAATAGGTTTATTGATTTTTATAATAATACCTTCATAATTTCTAATCAGTTAATAATGTATAAGTTTCTTATATTAATTAAATGTGGATAAAAATTAAATTAATTTTAAATTATAATTTTAATCAATATAATTAATGAGAGATTTGAAGATAACCTAATTTTAATTGGAAGCCAGTATTTGTAATTTTTTTGTCCTTAAAGAACGACACGCAAAGGTGCCATCTTGTAAGAAGGGGCAACGAAAAGTGTCAGGGAAGAATGACCCACGCAAATATGATACACTTTCGGCTACCTTTGGTCACAAATTGTTGTTTCGGCAAAGACTCAGACTCAGACTCACTGCTCACTCTCATGGACTCTTCACAATATATAAGTCATACTCTACTCTCCTCTTCTCTCATGCCATGCATTGTGAAACTTTCAACAGTTATTTACAGTAATGGTTCTGAGTTCTGAGTATTTTTTTTACCTTACACAGGTTTCATCCCACACCCTTGCTTTCCTTGTTTTTCTCTACTTGGAAATGGAATCCATCTTATTTACATTTACTTCTTCATGCCTTTTTTCTTGCTTTGGTCCCTCTTAATATATCATCTTATTTTATCGTATCCAGAAGTAATCTTGTGACCTTAAAGAATGTAAGTATAGTTTCACCATGACTAACGACATGTTAGTTTTTTTGTGATGAGATGGTTCTGATTGAACATGTTGTTCCTTGGAAAATCAGTTCAAGATATTGCAGACTTCGTTCAGTAAGCTTGGTTGGTGGAGAGGAATAAGGTTGTGGTCGGTAATGGTGGGACCTCTTGAGCTTGTACAATTGAAAATTTGTTTTTTCCTTCTTTCTTGTTTTCTTGATGACTGTACTAAGTATATTCAAAGAGATTCCTTGTTCACTTGTACAGTATCTTAGGTGTTTCCTATTAACTATTCATTGTTTTCAGTATATATTGATTTAGAGTTTACTTTGATGCTACTGTTTTGACATAAAAATGTAAGTATTGAATTTTTATTAATTTGCAGAAAACATGGCTAATGTTGAGAAAGATGAGGAGCAGATTTTATCATATATTCATGACAACCTCTCAAAACCAGATGATTCTAAATTTCTAACAAGGACCCAAAAAGTGTATCGATTCCTATTCCTACGGTATTCACGGAGCCATTAAATCAGATAGAGGTTCCGCACTACCAAACACCAGAAAGTAGTACAGAACATTTTCCTTCATCCTCTGGCAAGGATGAAAATGATTCGCAGAACCAAAATGATGGCACTAATGAGTATTTAGTTAGGTCTGGTTCACTGGGAATGTGTGATGATCCATATTGTTTAACTTGCCCAATCTACCTCAGGTCTAGTGAGCAAAGGATTGCAAATGCTTTGGGTACCTTCAATCAGAAGGTACAAAATAAACCATCCTTTCGTTTCACTTAAGAAACTAAAGACTACTACCTATTGGAGTTGCCATAGATTACACGTTGTGTGTCAAGGTTCTTAATTTTTTCATGCACGTGAATTTCATACTTCATGTTGATAGAGAGATAACATATCCAGGGACGACCAAATAGATGCACAAATTAAATAAATATCAAATTAAAAATTTATTTTAAGGAGTTGCAATATTTATTAATTCAATTTTAATTATTAAATTGAACAAAAATAAAACGGAAGCAATATGATCAGAGAGATAAAATATCAACAAGATAGAGATAAAAATAAGGGACGTAAGGAGAGTAATACAGTGAAAAAGAGATAAGAGAAAAATAAGAGCACACAGTGGTTTATATTGGTTCGGGTATAGTCAACCCTATATTCAGTTCTCAGTCAACTCTTAACACAAGAGTGACCTCAATTCACTATCTTTAAAATTCAGTTTACAAATTACAATCAACTCAGTAGAGGAACCAGTAAAGAGTAAACTAATTAAAAATATTGTCACCTCCTTAGAATTCCACTAAGGATGAACACCTCCCTAGAATCTCACTAGGGATAAACATCTCATCTGAACAAATCAAAGGATGAAAAACATCTCATTTGTCACCAACACACAAAGGATGAACACCTCCTTAGAATCACATTAGGGATGAACACCTCTCCGAACAAATCAAAGGGATGAAAATACCTCCTTAAAATCTCACTAAAGATTAATACCTCTCTAGAATTTCACTAGGGATGAACACCACCTTTGAACAAATCAAAGGATGAAAAAACACATCTTTGTCACCAACACACAAAGGATGAACAACAACCACCTAAACCCTAAAAAAGGGACTAAGACAATAAAATAACAACCATTTAAACCCTAATACCTTAGAGCTAGAGGTTGATATTCCAACCACTAAGCTACCAGAATTTTTTAATAATAATTTACAAATAAATTATATTTATATATTTATATATTTATATATTTATATATTTATATATTTATATATTTATATATTTATATATTTATATATTTATATATTTATATATTTATATATTTATATTTTTATATATTTATATATTTATATTTTTATATTTTTATATATTTATATTTTATATATTTATATTTTATATATTTTTATATATATTTATATATATATATATATTTATATATAATTAAATATTTGTATATGTTTTTATATATTTATATATAATTAAATATTTATTTTTTAAAATGATTTAATTTAAGAAATTATTATAAATTAATCTTATTATGATTAAATGAAATTATTAAATAAAAAATATTTAATTTTTTAATTAATTGAATATTTACTAATTGATAATTTACCGACGGATTTATCGTCGGATATATCCGTTGGTAACTAATTATTATTTTACCGACGGATATATCCGTCGGTAAAATTAAATTCCACAAATATTTTATATCCGTCGGTAATAATTATTTTCCGACGGTTACAAATCCGTCAGTAATACGCGATTTTTTTGTAGTGAATTGTGTCCAAAGTACAAGTGTGATAAAATTTGGTAAAGATGATTTCACAACAAATAATTATATCAAGGACATGGATATCCTTAATTTTCTGGCTTCTTATATGCAGGAAAATATGTGTAATGTTAGAGACGAGCCTATGACTATTCATTTTGTTGAGCAAATTAGAACCTTGGCTTGTATTATGTACTTCCTAAACATATTTCTTCAGGTAACTTTTAAGAATTCTCACACGGTTGTTTATTTCTTTTAATTGTATAACTATTTTTCATACATTAACCTGGAAATGCTAAATTGTTACATTGAAGACTTATATTTAAAGCTGCTTCCTCTGTAAATCTTCCTTTTTCTGTTTGTAAGAGGATATATCATAATTTGCTGAATGTTCCTTAAAACAGTCTCAGAATGTTTTTTGTGATCCTTTTGCATCAGACCTAAAATCTGTCTTCTATAATTAATAAATAATATCTACTGAACTTAAAACTTGGCTTCCATTTTTACCATTTTTTTTTTTGGTAAGCTTGGTGTAACAATCATAACCATCATCACCAATAACTTATAACTGTGGAGGTTGAGAGTCTAGCGTGCTTTTATGCTGGTATACCAAATAATATGCACACCAAGTACTAAAGATATTATAGTAATTGTATTAATTATTTATATGGCCTGAATCTTAAATAATTTGTTTACTTTTTAAGTGTACTTTGCTTTGTTTTCATAAATTAAAGCGTAAATAACTCCGTTAAACTACTCTGCAGTTTAGGGTGGCTTATGTTTCTTATGAATCATGGCCACGTGGTGCACATTTAATTGATCATCCAAAGAAAATTGCGTGTAATTATTTGATGACGTATTTTTTGTTGGACTTAGTGACTTTGTTTCCACTCCATCAAGTAAATTTCTTCACTTCTCCTTTTCTTGCTTTGTGAATTTATAGTTCTTTAAATTTCTTTAGCTGAGTTTGCTCACTGTAATTTCTTTATTTTATACCATCCTTGTTATGTAACATGAATGCTCGATGTTTTCTCCATAATATCTACACAAACCTCATGCCTATGATTGAAATCTGGAGACTTATGTGTCACTTTTATATCGTTATCTTCTTAAACTGCTTCTTTTTCTACAATATCATGTTCAATTAAAGTAAACCACAGCTATTGAGCCTTTAATTGCGAGATGATGATGAATAAATAATATTTGGAAGGAAAATATTTTCAATGTGAAGAAGAGTACGGTTTATTATATATGTTCTTTTTAAACTCCTTGTCCTGACATATGTAGGGAAATATTTGCATGCAGATGATGATATATTCGACTTATTACCTGCGATTATTCGAAAAAAATGGTATATGTTTTCCGGCCACGCTGATCTTTCTGCAGTATTTTCTCAGATTAGTCAGGGTTCTGCCAATTGGATTGTTCACAGGGATGACAGCCCAGAAAAAAATCATTAAAAATCTTCTCATCTTTTTGCCATCTGGCCATGTTGTTGGTTCTATCTGGTATATATTTGGTGTACAGGTGAGTGAAAACTATACGAAATTACTTCCTCACTAAATAGCACATAACTTAACCAATATTTTAGCTTGGTAATATTATTATAACTTTTAAGATGATATAATAATTACAAAATTCAACCTATCTACAATATATGACGGTTTTTTGTTACATAACAAAGTAAATATTACAAATGCAATGTATGTATTAGTAATATTTTCTGTATGAAGTTCTGAACTTTCTTCTTTTCTTCCTCTTCCTTGTTGCAGAGAGTTCATGGATGCTTGCTAGATGTCTGCCGCAAGATTACTTCTAATATTACTGGATGCTTAGCATTTACTGACTGTAGGCACCAAGGCGGTGCACCTGGCCTGTGGAAAAATAACGAAATTGCCACTGCTTGTTTGAGTTCCACTTCTGATACTATTCGATATGGAATCTTTCAAGATGCTGCCTCACTTGCTACAGACACTAGTGTCCTAAAAAAAATTGCATTTTCACTGTTTTGGGGCTTTAAGGTACGTTTTTGTTTTTTTATTATATAATTAGAAATTAAATATACGTTGCATATATGTTCAACTTAGTACTATTTGATAAGAGACGTATTTTATTCTTTTTCTAACTTATTTTTTCTACCTTGAGTGTTTCCAGTTCAATATACTGGAAACTAATTCTCTTTGATCTATGTATTATCCTACTGTAAATATCCTCTCATCTACTGCACTAGATATCAAGATGTAAATGTCACCCTTTGTTAAGGCATATGACTGGAAAACTCGTAAGAGTGAGCCACACTGAGTTTGTTTTTAATAATACAAGTTATCTATTCATGTAACTAATTAAAACGCGTTCATAACATGTAATATTTTCCTCAAAGAGAATGCTTGGATTGAACATAAGATCGAACATGAATATATGCTCTAATATTATGTCAAGGCACATTCATGAAAGGTTTATATCCCTTAACAAGTATACCCTACTGATTTTGATACAGCAAATCATTACTCTAGCTGGTAATCTAACCCCAAACTTCAAATTTGAGGAGGAAGTTCTTTTTACAATGGTGATAATGAGATTGGGAGTTTGGTTTTTTTACACTTCTCGTTGGAAACATACAGAAGTATCTTCAGGCTCTTCAAAGCAGGTAAAACTTATTGTTATTACTATTTATTTGCTGTCTCCTTGATTATTGACAATGTCGCTCTAACATACATTTTTTTTAATAGATACCTGTATGATAACTTTTTTTTATAAATTATAATCTCTCTTATTCCAGCATATGTCTTTATCATTTATTCTTTTACTTTTTCATCTTTATCAGTATTGATAGACATCTTTGGTATCCATCAAACTTATAAACAATACCCTTGCTTGCTTTCTATGATGGACATAACGTGCTTGACATATTTCCTTTTTTCCATTACAGGAGGACTGAAATGGAACTTAGAGATCGTGATGTTGATCAATGGATGAACCATCGCAGCTTACCACGAGGTTTAAGAAGGTATGATGTTTTCCTTCTCTTCACAAATCACGTCAAGAAGAGCTCTGTCTATGGGTTTATCAAGTCATTGCTCGTTAAATCCCCCTCTTCCTACAATTCCATAATTTTTTGAAAAAGTACCTGAGCAAGTTACTGAAATTCGTGTCTGCCATGCAGGAGAATACGAATGGCTGAACATTATAATTGGGCAGCAACAAGAGGATTCAATGAAGAGAAGCTGATGGAGAATTGGCCGGAAGAGCTCCAGACAGACATAAGACGTCATCTCTTCAAATTTATGAAGAAAGTATGTCCCTTGAGTCTTAAATGACTATTAATAATTAAAAAATAAAATATGATTCATCGTTAAGTGAAGTATTTTAGATCTGTGTGGTTTAGAAGTTATGAGAACTTCTTATAAAATTTATGTTTTTGCTTCAGTGTCTGTCTACCTGTATAACCTGCTAGAATTGACTAGAGGTTGAATATGAAAAATTGAAAACCATTTTGGAGAATAAAACAAAGTATATCAATTAACTAAACCTGTAAGTTCCGGTATATGTGATGATTTTATTTTCTGGGGGTCTAAAATATCTGCAGATTCAAATATTTGCCCTGATGGATGAGTCAATCCTAGATGTAATTTGTGAGAGGTTAAAACCAAGGAGATACATCATAGGAAGTAGAATTTTGAGTGAGGGTGGTGTTGTAGAGACGATGGTCTTTGTTATGCGTGGTAAATTAGAGAGCATTGCAGCAGATGGAACTAGACTTCTCTTATTAGATGGTGATGCTTGTGGAGAAGAACTTCTCCCATGGTATCTTGAGCATGCTACTGTTAGGACAGGTATTGCAATCCTGGATATAACCATGGCGATTTCTTTAGCAAACTATAGGTTTATACAAGTTATAAACATCTTTTGGTAAAAATTTAGAAAAAAAAATTCTTAAGTTGTAGTTAAATACATTATGTTTATAGAGATGATTTATAGTGATACATTCCTGTTTGATTCCTATCTTGTGCAAAGATTTATTGGTAAGAAAATGAGCATGGCTTACCAATGTGTTTTCTCTTGAAGATGGTAAAAAGGTAAGGCTTCCTACACAGAGATTGGTTAGCAAACGTTCTGTGTGGTGCCTAACAAATGTGGAGGCATTTTCACTTCGCCTTGCAGACCTTGAGAATCTCTCAATTCTTTTCAGAGGATTCTTGCAGAACCCTCGTGTTCAAGGATTAATAAGGTCTTCCATTATTCCTTATCCTTATTGTATTTACGTTTATGTTTCAACCTAATCTTTAAAACCATGACTTATCTTGATAGGTATGAATTACCTCATTGGCGATTACATGCAGCAAAACGGATTCAGGCTGCATGGAGAAACTGGAAGAGAAGATGCTCTCTTCATAGGGATAGTATTAACATTTCAAATTGAAAGAAAATGGGTGGGTCCATTATGAATAAGGTTGCTTCTGTTAAGAATAGGTTCTGTCTTACAATGTTATATATATTTGTATCTCCCTTTTCAATCACTGTTGTTCTTCAAATTGCTTTTCTATTTTTGTTTATAACTTCTAGAGTGCATTGCTTTATATTTAAAAAGTTATTGTGTTTTGAAACATTTCTTTAAATTTCTTTTAATAGATAATTTTATAAAAATTTAAAAAAATTAAAATATATTAAATATAATTGTTTTTATTTACTTTTTCATTTTCAAAAGATAAGTCAAAATTATTGAAGTACCTGAATTGCAAAACATATAATGTGGATAAAACATTGTCCAAAGAATAATCACAAAAGATGTAGTCAATAAGAAAAACAAGCAGACATTAACTATCTAATATCACAAAAAAATAAAAAATTGTCCATAAAAAAATAATCACAACCATCTTAATCAGAAATTATTATAAAAAACTTTAGTGTATGAAAGCAATGAATTAATTTTAAATGAATCAAAATTAATTTATTTTTAAAATAATTATGAAAATTATCTTATGTAACATTTTATTTCCTATAACAATTAAACCTATTATGTACAATCTAATAAATATAAATAAAATTTACACTAATAAATTTTATTATTTAAAAAAACATTTTTCATTAATAACATGATTTAATAAACATTACTGAACCAAAAAAATTAATTTGTTTAATAATTCATATTTTTTTATTATGATTTATTAATAATATTTTTTAACTAAAATATATTTTTAATTTATTATTAAAAATTATGATGCATTTTTTCTTAATTGATTATCTAATTAACATAATTAAATATGTCAATTAATATAATTTTTTTAAATAGTTTAATCTATATATATATATATATATGCATATATTTAAAACATATAATTTACATATATGATTTTAAATAAATATTAAATTTGAAATTAAATTGTTTGATTAAAATAATTTATTTTAAAAATAATTTTAGTAAAATATTCAAATTTTTATAAATAATAATATATATATATATATATATATAAAGATTATTTATAAAAAATAAATTGTATTTATTATTTTTAAAAGGATAAAAATATAAAAATAATTGATTTATTATATTAATATTTATTTATAATTTATATATAAATTAATTTTATTTTTACTTAGTTTTATCTATTTTATTAAACAATTATTTTATATTAAATGTTTATTTTAATTTAATTATATTTTTTATTAAAACTATATAAATGATACTTTTATCATTTATTAATTTACTATATTATTTAATATTTTTAATTATTTTTATCTTTCATTTATTTATATTTTTTTAATTTAAACAACCGCATTTTATTTTTATCATTTTTCACTTTTTTAAATTTACTTCTCAAATACAGATTATCATCTTAATAATATTCATCCAACCATCACTATTAAATTTTTATATTATTATTATTTATCTATCCTACTTATTTTTTATATCAATAAATTAGTTGTGAAAAAAAAATTCGTCATAAAAATTTATTTTATTTTATTTTTTACTTTGACAAAAAATAAATATTAATCTCTTCAATATAAATTTCTGTCACCGCCATAATTATTAATTAACGACGAAAAAAAAATCAATAATCAAGTTTAACTTTAAAAAATCTTCAACAACAAATTAAAAAATAACATCAAGGCGAATAATATCGATAAAAATTGAGAAATCACGTCTCGTTCTAGAAAAACATAGATTTAAAACTTGAGAGATAATACAAATTTTCAAATTCTTATTTCTTAATTAAATATAATGTTTGTTTTAATTTTGAGTAATTAACTTATTCTGTAAATTTGTGTAATTTTAAATTTGAAAAAAAAATCTTATCTAAATAAATTTAAGAAAATTAAATTTCCGATACAATAATTTCTAAAAAAGTTCTTCTGAATACACTACTAATTATATACAAATTACAAAAAAAAAAAAAAATTTACCAGATACGTTTAGGAATAATTTGAATTGGTTGTATGTTTGATATGTAAATTATAATTCAGTGCTTTCATATTTAAGTTTTTAAACGAATCTAAATTATAAACAATTTATCAATAATTTTATATAAAAAAAAAATTTTATGGGTATTGGATAAATCTATTATTAATCTAATTAAAAAAATCAAGTGGGTTAGATTCAATTCTTTTGTTTTTATGGGTTGAATTTATTTGAATTAATTGCATCAGAAATTTTTAAGTTTTTTATTGCTAAAAATATTGTTAAAGATATTTATATATGTTTTATTTAAAATAAAAAAAATTATATGTTATTTTTTATTATTAAAATCTTCAATTCATTGTCAATAAATGATTTGACAACGATAACATACTATTTTTTTTTCAGTAATCTTTCATGTTAATGTGAAAAAAAAATCTCATATTTTATAGAATTATTTTTGGGAAAATTTTAGTGAAAAATTATTCAAGGAAAACAATTTTTTTTCTAAAATTATTTCTTCAAAAAAAAAAAAAGTACCTAAATGTTGTGAGTAGTGTTTGACCAGTTTTTCTTTTTATTTCATATTATTAATTTAAGAAATGACGGTTCGTCGATATATCCTAAACTAACTAAGATACTGTCGCCACTTTGCAGGCCTTCCAACGACACACACATATATATGTATGTTGTAGTGAATCGCTGGAAAGTTTGATAATCCAAAATAATATTGATATATACTTTTTTTCTGAGAAACATATATTAGTATTTTATTCCATCCAATGTTGTAAAATAACTTTCCATTATTGTCTAATTATAAAATATTGTTGAAAAGATGTTTAATAAATTATGGGTTTCTTTTTTATACGTAACAACCCACATAGAAAACAGGCAGTGCCATTTCAATTCTCTCCCAATTGACTCAGTCAGCGACTCAAAGTCTTCGTCTTCGCAACTTTCTCTCTCTCACAGGGTTGTTTGCATTTTTAAGTTCACTTTCGCTCTTCATTTTCTGTATCTTCTTCAGCTCGACCTCTCTCCGTCAGAAACTCCTTCTTGCTTTCCTCTAAGATCACCAAACTCCCAAAAATTCATTTTTCAACTTGATTTTCACTGGGAATTCAATTCTTCTTGAACCAGCTCTTGCTCTTTCTGGGTTTGTTTTCTCTCTTGATTGTTTCATTAGTGTTCCTGGTTCATGGCATTTTCTGCACTTGGGCTTCGTAGTTATTATTACATTATAATGGAATTCTTCAACTGATTCCTGACCCCAGTAGCAATTTGTCACGATAGGTTTTGGTGCTTTATATTGTTTATAATTTGGTGTATATGTGTCAAATTTCTAGTTTGAACATACGCACTGATGTGTGTATAGGTAGGAGCATTGTCATGAAGGGTATTTGTTACTTCCTTTAAGATAAGGGGATTTGTTACTTCTGTCTTGTTAGAAGTTGCACTTGTTAGTTGTTACTTTTTGTGTAATCAGAAAATTTCAAATGTTAAGACATATATCATTTTATAATTGACCCTCTGCCTCATAAGAACAAGGATTTTCCTTATGATTATGCTTAAGTTTGTTACTTTAGGAACAAATGTTGTCTTTAGTTTTTTTTTTTTTTGAATTTATGCTTTCCCCTTTCAAGTTTCGAGCTAATAAATTGGATGTTTGCTTTGAAATTGCCGATGTGGTGCAGAAATGTGTATATTGATGTTTTGTTAGTTTCAAAGAAAATGGAGAATCACCAAGGAAACATGGCTAGTTTTGAAAAAGAGGAGGTGCCTATGCTGTCTGAAACACGTGCTCAACTGTCTGATGAAGTTGTGGATTCTAATTTCCGGAGGCTAGTGTCTAGGACACGAAGTGCTTCAATTTCGATTCCTATGGCTTCCTTGGAATCATATGAGAAAGAAGCTAGTCTTGTGGGACATACTGGTCCACTTCGTAATGTGAGAAAAACCCCCTTTGTGCATATGAGTGGTCCACTGTATGCTACGCATGGAACTGCAAATCTTTCAGGACAGAATATAGCTGCGACAGGAACCAAAGTTGGGGAGAGTAAGACAGAAAACATTTCTAGTTTCAATGGCAGAAACGAAAATCGTTGGAATAACGACTATGATAGAAAGAATGAACACTTAATGAGGTCTGGGCAACTGGGAATGTGTAATGATCCTTATTGTACTACTTGCCCCACTTATTTCAAGGCTGCTCAGCCAAAAACTCGAAAAACTTCTGCCATATTTGATCCCAAGGTACTTTTCTTCCTAAAATAGACTTTTATTTCTCCTGAAATCTAAGAAAACATTGACTTCCATGTTTCGATGTTGACTTTAACTATATGCTGTATAGCCAAAGAATTTATTATACAGATGTGATTTTATGCTATACATTCATCTTTTTTCTGACCAAATTCAGGATTTCACGGTAGATTATTTTATTAACCTAATAACTTATAGACATTTGATCGAATTATGCTATAACTTTATGCTTCTTAAGTAGCATTTGTCATATCTATGCACAGCTTCACTTTAACTTCCTTTCATTATTAATTAATAAGATTAAATGCTTATCATCATGCTCTTAAAATTAAAAGACAAAATGTATTCAAGATTAACTATTTATACTGTTCTTTCTGTTGATATCATTGTCCACTTTAGGGGTAATAGAAGTATTGTCAACAGACAATTTCTAGCTGTTCATTATTATGCAATACTTACATTCTGAAGGCTACTATAAAAGACTTTTCTGTATCCTTATACTTAGTATTCTTGTGACCTTTTCCATTTGCTTTTGTAGACATTTATCTGCTGTAATTCTCGTAACCAAACACACTTTTGTTTGTGTTTTGAATGTTTGCAGTTCCACAATAATCTTTACGGGGATGCCAAGGGTTTTGGAAGAAAACTTTTTTCCTTCTGCTCTTCATATGTTCCAGGAGTTATGAATCCTCACGCAAAAGTTGTACAACAATGGAACAAGCTTTTGGCCATTTTTTGCTTGGAGGCAATTTTTGTTGATCCACTATTTTTCTTCTTAATCTATGTGAAAGAGGTGTCATTCTTTTTCCTTTTATTTGATTAAATCTTCTTAGGTGTAGATACTTTACTTTCCCTGCTACCACTTTTTCAATTGTATTTTTTTCCATTCATTACATGCAGGATGATAAATGTATTGCTATCAATTGGACAATGACAACAACACTTGTTTTATTTAGAAGCATCAATGATTTGATATATTTCTTTAACATTCTTCTCCAGGTAATTTCTCAGTAACTACTTTAGAAAACCCCATTCCCTTATGTTTATTTATGTTAAGCTATATACAAATATAATGAAGCCATTTTGTTAGCTTGAATTATATGATTAAGATCCTTCCTTGTCAACAAGTGTTTATTATTCACTATTTCTGTTTTTGAGAAGGAAAATGTACTGACAAATGTATTCCTAAATATTTTCAACATACAGAGTAAAAGGGTTTAGGTTCTTTGTTTCATCCTATATAAATATTCACTGGAGAAATAATAAGATCATTGGAACTCCAAACGTATGCTAAATATTTCCTATTAAACTTCAAATCTCTGTAAATAAAGAAGCATGATGATACATATTATCTTTTGTGTTGGTATATATCATGTTTAATTAAAAGATACAGCACTGTTTACAGGGTGTTTCATGTTTTTGTCTATTTTGGATGAATGCATGTAGACAGTTTTAATAGATAGAGAGTGCACGGACATGTATCTGGTGGAAGTAGAGTATACCTAGAAAAATTCATGGGAAACAGAGATATAAATGAGCATGTGATGATGTCATGGATAAAGATTGATGTGTGCAGGACCAGCTTAAAGTATTAATAAAAGCTTGTTATACAGATATTCTGTGTATCATTCAGCTACATAAAGTAATGCAGACGTTCTTGAAGTAACTGCTAACCAATGGATGAGATTGCTGATGATACTTCCTCTAAATTTTCTAACCTTCTTATGTTAAAATGAACAACTACTGGGCACAATCATCGTTAAACCTGAAAAAATTAAACCAAGAAATCCTTGTTATATATATACATTCGGAAAATGAAGGTTGCATACTTACTCTCATCTGGCAGAGGACCAAGTACCAAAGATTTTTGTTGTAATTGTATTAATTGTTCATATTGCTGCAATTCAAGACATAATGTAGGTTATTTGGTGTGAAGCTTCAATATTTCCTCATTAAAATTTAATTCATTCACACTCTATTACCACAACTGTTCCAGAAAATCTATTAGTGATAGGAGCTTTTTACTCTTAGCTACAAACCTAAAAATATATTACTTTTGATGTGTATTTATTATTTTTTGGCAATTAGCAATATGGTGTCAAACTGGAAGAGAAAAATGGAATGGTTAATCGACTCAGATGGTATAGAATGCTGGATTGTAATCTTATTGATATTACATTGCTGCATCTTGTGCATGTCTTAATTTTTTTTTAATGATTAGTTCAGGTCAAAATGAAAAGAAAAGTGCATTTGTCCTGAATCTTAAATAAGAGTTTGAGTTTTCTAGTCTTGTTTGCTTCTTTACAGTTTAGGTTGGCTTATGTTTCTCCTGAGTCAACTGTAGTAGGTGCTGGAGACTTAGTTGACCATCCCAAGAAAATTGCTCTTAATTATCTGAAGAGTTATTTTTTTATCGACCTATTTGTTGTATTTCCTCTTCCTCAGGTGAACTTCTTACCATCTCCTTTTTTTACTTTATGGAAACATTTTTTATATAGTTACTTTGGTTGAGTTTGTTCATTGTACCTTAGTGTTTTGGGTATCTAGTTTTATGTGCAACAAAGTGCAAAGTTTACAATGTGAGTTATGAAACCTACCATCCTTACAATTGAACATGAATGCTTATTGATATTTTCTCTCCATATCAGTGGTTCTGTATCTTTTATTTATTATAAAACATGAAAGTCTTTGATGCTTCCATTTCACTGAGATTGTCAGTTTTGGATTTCTTGAGATGTATATATTGAAATATTATTCAACTCCCCTATATAACACAAAATACTGGGATTTGGGTTTTATATGAACTTGAGTTTTTTCTTGATTCTTTCAAAACATCAGTTGTTTAGTTGTGATATTTTTATTCAAAATAAGTAAGGAGTGCTTGAAACTAGTTATTAAGTTTTCTATAATTGAATCTTTTGTAATTAATTACTGTTGTCAGGTAATTAAGAACATGAGAGCATTGTGGATCTATCTTTTACAATTAGTCATAAAGGCAATGATAACTTGCTAATAACCAATTAACTTGAAGCACATAAATTCCAAAGGTCCACTTATTTTGTGTTGAAATTGAATTTAATTAAGAAAACGAGAGCATTGAGGATCTAACTTCTATAATTAGTTGTAAAGGTTATGATAACATGTTTAACAATCAATTATCTTAAAAGCTTAAGCTGCTAGTTGTAGGCTAGAAATGATTTTTATAGCAGAACAATGTTTAAGTACTCTGAAAATTCTTGTTGCCATATCATCTTTATTTTATAAACTGTTTATTGTTCTATGTGGTCTTGTTCAAGTTCAAATGAACCTCAATGATAGAACCTTTTATTGTATCTGATGAATAAATAGTCTGTGGAGAATGGACATAAATACTTGACATCAAGCAGGCAGTAGAGAAAGGAAAGGGTTTTCAACATGTGAAATAGAATAATAGTTTATTCTGTAGTTTTCAAATTCCTTTTTATGACATGTGTAGTGAAATATTTGCAGGTAATGATATTATCTGTCCTACCAAAGTATCTGGGATCATCTGGAGCAAATTATGCTAAAAATCTTCTGCGTGCAGCTATCCTTGTGCAGTATTTTCCTAGATTATTCAGGTTTCTGCCTCAGTTAATTGGCCAGTCTCCAACAGGATTCATTTTTGAGTCAGCTTGGGCAAATTTCATTATAAATCTTCTCATTTTTATGTTATCTGGCCATGTTGTGGGTTCTTTCTGGTACCTCTTTGGTCTACAGGTGAATAAAAATATTATAAGAAGCTTCATTTTCAAAAAATACATTTCTTCCTCGTTAAATTTCATAATTTGATTTTAATCCTCATGTTGCATGTAAAGGAAGGATAGGTTGTGTATAATATGATAATATGTTACAGGAATTATGTGCAAAATAAAGTATTAAAGTAGTATTAGCTCAGAAATTTAATTGTTCTTAATTCTTTTGTAATGTTGCTAATGACATTCAACTATCAGAATTGTTATGTTTCCCCGCATGCTAGATGGCCTATTCAATTAGAATCAGGAATAAGATTCTGTAAATGATTGTTGATTTTCAATTATTAACTTTCTCTATTATTTTCCTCTTCCTTGTGCTAGAGGGTTAATCAATGTTTGCGAAATGCCTGTCGTGATTCTAGTATTCGTGGATGCTCAACATTTATTGATTGTGGCCGGGCATCTGGCCGTAAATCAGATCTGTGGAGCGAAAATGTGAATGCCACTGCTTGTATGAACGCCACTTCAGGTGCTTTCGCGTATGGGATCTATGTAAATGCTGTACAATTGACCATAGAAACTAATGTGGTGGAAAAATATGTATTTGCACTCTTTTGGGGCTTCCAGGTGTGTATTTGCGTTCTTATGTTTTTTCTTCTGTAATAATTTTCCATCTATGAAGATTCAAATAAGTTTAATAAAATGCATTTCTATATATAGGGGGTACATATCAAGTGAGAGCTAGGGATGAAGTAATATTGACTATTCAATTTTACATGGATGGTTAACATTATTTCCTCGAATCTCTGACACTCTCACCTGTATATGGCAACTGTAAGATCAATGTTTTTATCTCAGGACTAATTCCTGTGAGATTATCTGTGTAAAATCAATTGATCTATGTCTGTTGAGATCTAAGAAGCAGAAACACCTGTATATAGTGGTTTTTAATATGATATCCCTCAACAATTATACCTTCATCTTTGTTACAGCAAATCAGTACTCTGGCTGGTAATCAAACCCCCAGCCCTTTTGTGTGGGAAGTTCTTTTTACGATGGCCATTATAGGTTTGGGACTCTTACTTTTTGCACTTCTCATTGGAAACATACAGAACTTTCTTCAGGCCCTTGGACGCAGGTAGAACTTTTTGCTATTACTTGCAGTGCCCTGTGCTGATGACATTGTTGCTCTTAATGCATGTTTGGAAATGAATTATGATCATTTTCCCCCCTCAAGTGCTTTCTCTAAAAGGTAGAAAAAATTAAGCATTGGTTTCTTCAAAGTAAGCTGAATAAAACACACTAAAATAACCTATTTCCATAAAATAAACTTCTCTTTATCATTTTTCATTTGAAAAATAAAAATAATGGAGATGGATGAATTCCATCCATCCTTCAAGTGTAGGGGTCTGTTTGAATGAGCTTCTGCATAAGGACGTCTAAAAGAGAAAAAGAAAAACAATGAAATGAGTTTCTCCATAAGCTAAAATTAGTTGGTACGCAAGTTAACAAAAGTTTAAAGAAATTGTATGAGAGCTTATGTAGCTAATTTTAGATATGTAGAAGTTAATTTTAATTTTTTTTCATATTTTTCTCTCTTAAAGTTCTTATAAGGAAGCTTGTCCTACCCAATCCGTATCAAACTATACTTTTTAATTCCCTAGCATCCGCATGCCTCTTAAGTTAACTTCAGCTTGATGACAGTGTTGGTCGTTTTAAAAACTCACGTAGTATTTTAAGTTAGTGTCACAACAACATTTAGATATCCTTAATTTATGTAAGGGTCATAATGTGCTTGATATATCTTCCATCATAATTACAGAAGGCTAGAAATGCAACTTAGAGGTCGTGATGTTGAACAATGGATGAGTCATCGTCGCTTGCCCGAAGATCTTAGAAGGTATGAAATGTTCTTATTCGTTTCACAAGTTAAAACACCCACATTTTCAAAAAGGTGTCTGTCTATTGGATGATTTAATTCATTGCTTGTTAACTCTCCACCACTTCCTACAACTCCTTTTCATTAAAAAGTACACGAGCAATTTACTCTGACAATGAGACAGTTTCTGTTTTAGGTTAGAGCCTTTATTTAATAACCAACTCCATTTAATCATATGTGCATAACTAATATCCTTATTCCTAAACCTAGTGTGAAAAAAATATTGAAAAAAATCTTATTGATAACCTGTCACACAATCCATTTCCTTGTAGATTCTGTTGATTTAATATTTTGTTTTACTACTCATTAAATTGAATATTCCAGCAACTGAAAGTAGAAAGTTTTTTATCAGAAAAGAAAACATTTTTTATGCCTTTGTATTTTTTATGTAATAAATGTTTTCATTTGCAATAAAAACATTATATTTTTTAATTGCTCTTGTCAACCCTAAGGAGTAAGGATTGAAATTAACAATTACAATCATCCACTTTGCATGAATTAAGTTTCTAGCCCTAATAATGATAGATATATCGACAATACAAATATATTTGGAGCTAGTGATTATTATATAATAGAGCATATGATGCTGAATTATAGGAAAATAATGTCTTCTATTTTTTACTTTTATGTAGGTTCTAGGTTACTTGTGGATCACACATAATGTACAACTCATTCATACTATGTTTTCCATGCAGGAGAGTACGACAGGCTGAACGGTATAGTTGGGCAGCAACAAGAGGAGTGAATGAAGAAACGCTTCTAGAAAAGTTGCCAGAAGATCTCCAGACAGACATAAGACGACATCTATTCAAGTTTGTTAAAAAAGTATGCCCCAGAAATTTGTTGCACAAATGACCAGTAATAATTAAAATAACTATGATTATTTGTTATGTGGAATTTAGTCTTAGATGTTAGGTTAACTTTGAAATCTCAGCCATTTTGAAGACAGCTTTATTCGTATTCATCACGAAACCAAAATTGTGACTTATCAAAAGGCAAAGCATTCAACAAACCTGTGAGTTGTTATGATTGTTTAGTCTTCTGAGGATCTTAATAATGCAGGTTCGAATCTTTGCTCTCATGGATGAGCCTATCTTAGATGCAATTTGTGAGAGACTAAAACAAAAGACATACATCAAAGGAAGTAAAATTTTGAGTCAGGGTGGTCTTGTAGAGAAGATGGTCTTTGTTGTACGTGGGAAATTAGAGAGCTTTGGAGATGATGGAAATATTGTTCAATTATCTGAAGGGGATGCGTGTGGCGAAGAACTTCTGACATGGTATCTTGAGCATTCTTCTGTAACTACAGGTATAGCAATACTTGATACAATGATAACATGGCTGTTAAAGTGGAGGTTAGCAGAAGTTGCAACTATGAGCAACTTGGCCTCACTACAAAATGAGAAAAATGTTTTACCGCTGTGTTTTCTGTCTCCTGCAGATGGTAAAAAAGTAAGGGTTCAAGGGCAGAGGTTGCTGAGCAACAGGACTGTAAGATGCTTAACAAATGTGGAGGCATTTTCACTTCGTGCTGGAGACCTTGAGGAACTCACAATTCTTTTCACAAGATTCTTGCGAAACCCTCATGTTCAAGGAACACTAAGGTATTTCATCCATTTCCTTGGTTTATGTTTCAACTTAATCTTGACCCTTTTAAGACATACAGAAGTTAATATCATTCAACTGTATGCCTTTTCATGAAGATTGTTCCTTCATATATTCTTGACATGTCTGGAAAATACCAACACCTCTGTAGAATAGTGTGTAGTTTGACACTTGTTGGACCTGACAGTTTAGACATTTCTTTGACAAATCTTGAACACCTCTCTAACTCGGCTTGAACATGAATAAAGAAAGTGAACCAACACCTATGATCGATTAAACACTCTTTGGGCATTGCTATCATAAAAAAGTACAAAAGATAATAATTCAACCTGCATTACAATTATTATAAAACTCACATCATTTTTTTGAAGTTCGTTTCTATACGACTCAATTAGTTCTTTTAACTATTAAAATATATGTTTCTTAGTATTCTATTGAGAGGATTGTTATCCTTGGGTTTATTCGGAAACTTCATCCAGAGTTAATTTGGTATTAAGTTGAAATTTGATATAGTATTGGAATTTATTTATATTCTTAGTCATAACTTATTCTGGTAAGCTCGCATGGTTTGATAGACATCTTGTCAAAAAATGTGCCAGGAAGAATCTTATATTGTATGTCTTAATTTTTTAGCCGCTTGTCGGACAACTTGGTTTGATGTCAATTAGTATTAAGTTAAAATATGAAATTATATAAAATGGGGAAAGTGCAGTAAAAAAATTTACAATGTGAATTATATAAATCTTAATTCTTAATTGAAGTTTTTGTTATGTATGTATACAAGCGACGATCCTATGTCTTATATTTTAGACATTAGCCTATTCTGGTTTTCATGTTGGAATTGGTGCTTCAAAAGCTCACCATTGCACATGTATATCCAAACCTATCATTTTTCCTTGGAATGACTTTGATATGCATGTAACTTGTCTGATATTTTTGCTTGATTTCTATTTTCAAAACAATGGCTCCAACATACTGATTTGACGATGGTATGATGTTAGGTATGTATCACCTTATTGGAGATCCCTTGCAGCAAGCCGCATTCAGGTTGCATGGAGATACAGAAAGAAGCGTCTGAGTCGTGCTTATTCCACACAACAAACATATTGATGTCTAGGTTGTACTCTTTAGCCACACTTTGCCATAGGTTGTATGGCTGCAAAAGTATTTGCAATAGATTCACTTATTACCATGTAAATGTTCCTTCTAATATTAGATAGAGTGTTTAATAAGTTTGTACAAAATTTTATACTACCATTCACACAAAAATTATTATTCATATCATTTTTAGAGTATTTACTATCAAAATCAGTAAATTTACTATATATAGCAACATATAATTAGATGATAGTATATAAACGTTTGCATTGATAATAAATGCAATTGCAAAATTAGTGTTAATTTATAGAGTTTGAACAATAGTTTGAAAAATAGTCTCCTAGGCACATGTATTCAAGACATCTGGTAGTTGACATTCTTGCTTTTTAGAATTCGTTGACTCAATTGACCAGTTGCAATTATTTAGCTAAAAAATTAGGAACAATTTCCACGTGGCATGTTATGTGAATCCCCAATCCAATTTTAAAAAAAATATATAAATTGAGAAGTTGACTCAGTCAATGGTTGAACTGTCGTGTGTAACCAGATAAGTTGACTGGATCATCATGGGCATGCAATAATATTCAAAGTTATCTCCTTTGCATGTACTTGAAGGTTGTGTGGATTTAGGCGTGAAAAATTACAAGTTGTGGAAAGTTGAGTAGAAAATCGAGATAAAAAGACAATGGATTATGTTTCATTATATAATTGATTATGTCTTGATACTGTATAATTTTGATCTATCGTAAGTAATAAGTACTGTGGTGCTTCAACTTGTGTTCTTTGTTTGTCTGTTTTATTCTGTGGTAGTTATAGTAAGAGCAATACTAGTTTCTGAGACAATGATTTTTCTTCTTCAATATGAAGTAATCATTTAACATATTCTCTAAAATTTCTTGTTGGACATGCAGCTTATGAAATTTTATGTTATTTTAACAAGTTGGTCATGTTATATGTAAACTCTACTCAATTAAACTCTTTACTAAAAAAAGTAAAATTAAAAATTTTGCAAGGTAACAATCAAATTGAAAAATAGTTCATACATCTATATTTTCATACTAGTGTCATAACAACTTAAGAGACACTTGAAATCTTTAATATGGTGCACTGTTTTCAGATTTTTGTAATATGTGAAACATTAAAGTGAATATTTTGATATCTTTTTCTTAAAATGCAATTGGGATTATAGAATAAAGGAAGAATGATAATAATCATTGATTATGGACCTAATAAATATGATTTAATAAAATAATAAAATTAATTTAATGGATAATAAAAAGAATTATTCAATTTATTTAATATTTACAATTATTATTTGTAATTATTTTAAAAATTGTCTTTTATGACGTTAAGATTTGAATTTTCTTGATAATTAAAATTTTAATACTAAAATATATAAAGGTTAAAAGAAAAAACACTTTAACATTGAGTTTTAAAAAAAGTATGTAATCTTGATTTTTCATTGTAAATAAAAATACTGGATGGGGTAAGATGTTAATACAAAAATCAATAGCAGCTCTTTTGCGAATCAGATCCATAAACAAAAATTAGTAAAATTGAAAAAACCTGAATGATGAGAACCACGATCTACAAAGAAGATGACGTTACGAGCACTCCAAAAAGGATGTCATGAAAGCTACAAATCAAGGTTACTACTGCAAGCACAGAGAAGATGGGTCCATGCAGAGAAGCCAAAGGTTGAGGTTGGTTAAAAGAAAATTGATTAAAGTGTCCAGAATTGTATATTCTTTTAATAAAATATCTAAACAAGAGATTTTATGACATGAGAGTTTGAGTCTCTTCAAAATTCCATTCCACTTATAGTTATAACATTCTCTATCCAAAAAGACACAAAGGAAAGAAAATTGGTCAACAAATTTTCAAATTTCACATCTAGTCATGCATTGAATATATAAAAGCCAGTCCTCAACCATTATGCATTTGAATACTAACCTTCAATACTTGACCCTGCATTCATTAACAAGCCCTGCATATCTGAAAATCAAATAGATGAAGTACTCCAACCAATTCCAAATAATCATATGACAGGGTCAGCTTCGTTTGGTATCTGAAGCACTAAGATGATAAAATTGTCATTAAAATTCAAAATAACTAAAGGCGTAATAAAAAGGGCCTCATATAGTTTTTTTTAATCCTACAATCAGCCTCTAGCAATAATTTCCTGAAGTAGTTTCTCTGGTTTTTCATTTTCATTTTTTTCTTTTCAAAAAGAGTACAAATAATTGCTTCATAAGTTACACCATTAGGTTGCAACCACTGCCTTTCATTTCCGACATCATGGCCAAAGCTTCATCAAACAAGCCCCATTTACAAAGTTCAGTCCATTGATCATAACATTATATGTCCTCACATTTAAGATAATATACTTTAATCGAAAGATTCTGAAAAACCTCTACTGTACTCTGAAGTCTTCCCACCTTTGCAAAATCCATCAATAAGTATTGTGCTCAGTCGCTTGAATTCCCTTGTCTTTAACTAAGTTGAATAGTTCAATTGCCCTGTCTACATGATGGTTTTTACATAAAGCATGTAATAAACCATTGTAGATTATTACATCAGCTCTTTGACCTTTATCATACATCTCATCCATAAGTTCCCAAACATCTAATCAATAAGCTCCCAAACGTAAGATATTTTCCCTGATTTACTCAAGAATTGTAAGTTATTGTATTTGGAACAATATTTTTGTGATGCATTTTTTCAAACAAATTTACCGCCTCATTCACCATATTAATCTTACATAATCCATTAATCATGGTATACTGTAGCTCTGAACATCGGGAATCACTCCCCTTAAAGTCATAGTGTTGAATACATCTTTGGCCCTATCACGTCCTAAACTAAACATTAGGCTTTATACCAGCTTTCACCATCCAATACATCTTTAGCTTGTTTCACCTTTCCTTCTTTACAGAAGGCATCAACCAATATATTAAAGGTATACACATCCGCGCTGATGTTTTTCAGCACCATTTGATTAAACAAATCAATGGCTTCCTGCAATTTATCCACAATGCAGAACCATATATTAAAGCTGTGTAAGCGATGACATTGGGAGAAACTCCCTTGACAACCATATCAGCCTTATAAATCATATCAGAGTATAAATCATTAGCCTCAGCAACAAGTGTATCTTTGCATAGGTTATCCATGATTGAACTACATTACCACATTAGGCATGATCAAAGCAACTGCACAGCAATCCTGTTTCTCCAATTTTTAATAAACCATTGATTAAGATGAAGGTCCCATAACTAACTTGATGTAACCGAACAGCCTGAGCTAGCACATTGTCATGGAAATCAGTGCTTTCTTGACCTCACCACTGACACAGAGACAATTCATGAGTGTGTTGAAGGATACGGTATTAGACCCATTTTGAAAATTTTGCCGAACACAGAGAAAGCAAAGGTCATTTGACGGAGGTGGCAGAAGCAATTGATGAGGATGGTTAAAGTGAAAATGGTGGGAATAATTCCCCTAGATTCCAACTGCTTATTATAGAGGGAAATGGCAGTAAATGGAAGACGGGTAGTGGTTGATGCGTACGAACGAGATATCAGCAACAACGATAAGGAAAAGGATTAAAAAGAAGAACTCCCGAATACTTAGCTATCTCTGGATATCAATTGTACCTCGTTATTTTGATGACTAATTTTTTTGACAGTAGAATATATAAACAATTATCCGAAATCTGTTTACCAGATAGAATGGAATATGATGAATTTGCCATGTTATATCTGAGTAATGTATAATATTATGAAAAGTAGATACAAATTTTTGGCTACTACCTTGAATAATGGGTGGTGGTTGATGCATTTGGATATGCGATTGAAGAAGGCAACGGCCTCTTGGGTGGTGAGAGTGAGAGTGAGAGTGTGAATGAGAGAGATGAGAACCAAGAAAAGGAGGAAAATGGTGAAAGGAAAGGGCATGCTTTAACCTTTGCATTCACAGTAACATTGTGGATTTTATTCTGCCTAACCGTTTATTTCCCACATAAGATGCTATTTACAAGTCATAGATAATTATCGAAATACTTAAATAAATAAAGTATTAATTATTTAAAGTAATTTTTTAATAAAAGAATTTATATGACATGAGAAATTGTTAAAACTATTTTCATAATTATTTGATTAAGAAACTTACAAAAGAGAGAATAAATTTTTTTAAATTTATTAAAAAATTAGATGAAGCAAAATCAACATTAAATTATTTTAAAATATGATATCATAAATATTTATTTTACATAAAATAAAAAAAGAATAATTGTTGATCGGAGAAATACCTAATATTTTTATACATAATGTTTGATAGTGGAGAAATTGAATTCTATGTGTGAATTTGACTGAAAAATTGGTCAGATTTTGATTTTAGAACTGAATTCTAACGGAGTTTTGTTTTTTTATTTTTTTACACAGTTAAATATAAATATATTTATTAAATATATATATATTTAAAATATTTTTATATTTAATAAAGAATATTTGTATAATTATATATTTATATATTTAATAAATACATATTTATAGTGTATATATATATGATATAAATTTATTAAATATATATATATATTTTATTAATTATATCAAAATCAAATAAAATAATTTTAGTACAAATATTATAAGTATTTACTATAAATATTATATAAGGTTATTAAAATATTAAATAAATACTTGAATATTAGATATATATATATATATATATATATATTAAATATATATTTATTAAATGTAAAAATATATAATTATGTATTTATTAAATATAAAAATAATATATATATAACCGTTTAGAATTCAATTCTCAAAAATCAAATTTTGACTGGTTTTTCGATTATGTTCGTACAAATTAAAGGTCAGAATTCGATTTTTCAGATATCAAATTCTAACCTAAAATCCAAACCATCTTATCTATGAAAATATTGGATAGAGTGTGTTGTTTAGGAAAGGTCAGTGGTAGACCATAAAAAAAAAAAAAAAAAAAATCTATCATTTTGTTTTTTGGTAATACATTTGATAGTTAGGTTTGTAGTGAAAGTTAGGGTTTAGCTTCTATTTATTTCTATGAAAGCAAGGTAAGAGGAAGTGAAGGTGCTTGAAGAAAATGATTTGAATCCAAAGATTTGTACAGGAATGAGAATAGACATATAGGTCCTAATGATTTTTAAAGAGAGCTATTGCATATAAAATAATAAATATATTATTAGTAAGTTAATTAGGTTTTTGCTATTTTCTATTTAAATAATATTTCCATTCTTAATGTTAATATAATTAATGATTAATGATAATAATTAAAATGTCCAACTTGAGCATTGAGAACTTGTGCACACACCACTACTTATCTCTTTGTTAGGGTGAAAAGAAATGTGACGAGGAAGTTGATGATTAGATTGCATGATTTAGAAGCATGGAGTGTTGTAGACGATGCTTCGTTTTGCATCCATTCATTAACTTGAAGCAATTAATATGTAACCTCTTTCAACAATTCTTATTATTTAATTCACACACATCATATATTTTCTTATTCTTATATATAATTTCTTTTTCAAAAACAAAAAAACAATGCAAGCAAAGAAATTCAAAGAAAAATAATAAAATAAATAAAATGTTGACCTTTACACGTCTACTCTGACAATGAAAAAAAAAGATAGACATCGACATATATATATATATATATATATATATATATATATATATATATATATATATATATATATATATATGGATTTATCTCGTTATCTCTATTATAATTTTTCAAACTGATAAAATATAAATTAATATCAATACTATAAATAGTCATGAATTGTTCATCCTAAAATAATTTACAGAATTAAGTCATATGTAGTAATTATTCGATTCTTGTTGTTTTTAATTACCATTAACATCTATATTTTTTCATATGTACTTTAACTAATGTCTTTTCTGACCAATTAAACACAAGTCCACAATATCAAAACTAAGGTATTTACAACTTAATCAGCCTAAATTAATTCACATAATTTAGGTGAGCTACTAATAATCATTTTTAGTCCATGTCTTAATCATTTATTATCATTCGAATTTGGACTTAATTATTTTTTATTATTTTAATTTTCCAAAACTATGTATTGTCATTACAAATTGAAGATATATTTGGATAATTTATTTTCTACAACTATTTATAACTATGGATAATTTTTAAAAATATATATATGGTTTATCTAAAAAAATTCTCTATTAAAGTTATCCACTTAAGAAAAACAACGAATCCTCTTAATTATAGAAAATAGTAATTAAAATTTAGTCAAAAATTAACTACATTAATTAATATGATATGATGATAAATTTGATACTGAAAAAAAAAATGTGAGGTGGAGGAGTGTTCTTCAGATATGAAAATAGATAGATCTACTGGGGATGTTCACATTGGACTTCGACCTTGACACGTGCCAAGTCGAAATCTCACGAGATCCTAATCCCTTCTTTATTTTCTCTCTCTATTCCCTTCGCTCATATCTTCGCACGCCACGTGATCCCCTCACGTGTCACCTTTCCATCATCCAAGGGATCGCTCCCTACCATACTTTCTGGTTCCTTCACGCGTTTTCTACATCCCACCGTCCATTCCCAAACGTTCCATAAATCCTAGCCGTAGACTCCTCACCCATTTCCGAATCCGCCACGAATGGCGCAGACACGTGGCGTAAAACCAACGGCCAAACGGAAACGTTGTTATTTTAACCTTATCTCTTTTCTCTCTCTTTTCCCCTATAAATTTCCCTCCCCTGCCTCCGGTTTTCGCCTCACACTATATTCACTACACCCTAAACAACTTTCTATTTATCGTTATTGCTGTTCTTCTTTTTGTCTTCGGTTGTCGCTTACAATTCTGTAGAAGAATTGTAATAGCGAAGAGTTGAATCGAATTGTAAATCAAGGAGAATTTGAATCGTAGAGAGAATCAGAAAATTGTCGAAAATTTTAATTGAATTGTTGATAGTGGAATGGCGTTCAGCATGACTCACCAGATCGGGAGTTTGGCAGGTGCGACGGCAGTGCTGACGGATTCCACCTCGAATACCGGCGAGTCGCCGGCGTCGGCGGTGTGGAAGTCGCCGGTGGCGAATCTGAGGTGCAAGGCGGTAAGGACGGACGGCGTGGAGGGGTTGTCTCCGCCGCTGACCCCGTGCATGTCTCCGGCACCGAGATCTGTGCGGCCGGATCTGACGGCGGCGTGTCAGGCGTTCGCGACGGAGGTGGAGGTGGCGGAGGAGAAGGAGTACGGCGTCGGAGGGAAGGAGAACGGAGAGGGGAAGGGCGTACCGGTGTTCGTGATGATGCCGCTGGACAGCGTGACAGCTGGGAATACGGTGAATCGGAGGAAGGCGGTGAACGCGGCGATGGCAGCGCTGAAGAGCGCGGGGGTGGAGGGGGTGATGATGGACGTGTGGTGGGGTATGGTGGAGAGAGAGAAACCTGGAGAGTATAATTGGGGAGGATACGTGGAGCTGATGGAAATGGCCAAGAAACACGGTCTCAAGGTGCAGGCTGTGATGTCCTTTCATCAATGTGGCGGTAACGTCGGAGACTCTTGCAAGTGAGTAATGCTTTCTCTTCTTGTTCTTCGTTTTTCTTTCGTGTTAATATTTTGTAGTGATTAGCTTTTGAATGTTTATAGTGTTTGGGTTAATTTGATTTAAAAAGCTATTGTTTGTTTATATGATCCTCTGAACTAACGAGGTAAAGTAAGATGAGAAAAACGAAATCCAATTGCATGTGAATAGGTGATTAGGATTATTTTTTAAAATATAATTCCAGTGTGTTTATGGTTTTTATTTGGGAAGTATTAAATAATTTTAGATTATGACGACTTTGGGAACATTTTTAAAAACATAAGTTGTGACAGCGACTCAATCAATTACAATTTTTTTAATTTGAGAATTTAATTAAAACTGCTAAACATTTCAGGAATCTACATTAATTAACCTAAAATAAGCTAGATACATAATTTTTTAACAAATATATTGTTTCGGATAAACCACCTGGATGAAGTTCTTGCAATTTTTATTTTTTTTTACAGTTCTTTTGAAGAAAAAGTAAGATGTGTATTTGTTTTTATTTTTTAATATAAAAGTAATGGTTTTTAAGCTCTTCGATTTTTTGTTTATTTTTAAAAACAGTAGTCAATTTAAATTTTTTTTTAATAACTTGAAAATAAATTAGAAAAAAATTATAATTCTAATACGACATCGAGGAATAAAAGTTACGAGGAAAGTTTTAAAAATATTAAAGAAAATATGGATATCGAAATGTATTTTCAAGTTTTAGTATTTAAATTTTTAAAAACTAAAAAATAAAATTAGTTTGTGAAAATGTTATAACTTGTCAAATAAATTTTCAATTTTTAAAATTTTATAAATTGGAAATTATTTTTAAAAATAATTTTTAAGTTTCTTTACGTTTTTTTTAAATTGGGTAATAAGATTTCATCCGAAATATGCGGTCATCGTTATTCGGAATTTGATGAATGAGAAGAGTGCCCAGCACGGTGCCAACACATTTCTTGAAAAATAAAATAAACGATTAAAAGGAGTTTTGTGGGAGGGAGAAGAACTGCCATATCAGTCATGCCATGTGAGGTGGACTTGTATCACTTTGCTTTTAAGTGTAGTGTTGTATTTTTCTATTGAATGAACTAGGACCTTGAAATAATTTGGGTCTTGAGTATTATTTAACTTTTCCCCTTTTGCTGAAATATTAATATTTATTTTCACAATGATTGAAAATAATGAAGTCAATTAAATTGTTAATCCTTGTACTCTTTGGAATGAGTTGACGTTCTCTTAAAATTAAACATGATTATTATATTTTTAAACATATAATTACAACAATTCACAATAATTTTAAGAAAATATGTATATCTTTATTTGAAGAGGCGTGGCGAATACGGTGTAGCGAATCCTATTTTCTTTATTCTTTGTGGTCCTAGTGAAAAGTATACAAAATACATGAGGAAAGTGTGTGGCTTCGCGATGGAAAGTGCCGAAATGGGACCAATTGAAGTTGGACTTCTATTGATTCACGTCGTTATCGCCACAAAAAGTATACAAAGTTTTAAGGATCTACCTATTAGTGGACCCGAAATCTTAACATGCTTTTGAATCAATTTTAAGAAAACTTTTTTTAGAAAATAATTCTAACATGGCAAGTTGAAACTTCGAACTGGATCCCTATAAATTTCAATGACTTGTTTAGGATTCTCTTTGTTTATATATTTAAGTAACAATTATTTTCATTGCTATCAACAGCCATGAAATTTTTTAATTTAATCCAATCAGCAATTTTGAATTCGAGTTCCGAACATATCATGTATAATTTTAGAAAGAACTTCTTTGTCACGGTTCCTGCTTTGTGTCTATAAAAAACTAGCTCTTATTTGTGCGGTTTTCTAGATATCATCGTTATCAGTCTTGTCACAAGTAGCATTGTTTAGGAATAGCATGTATGTTCTTGGTGTCTTCTTGGTGGGCCACTGAGATAATTTATGTCTTGTGTGCAGCATTCCCTTGCCCAAATGGGTTGTGGAGGAGATGAACAACGATCCCGATCTTGCATATACTGATCAATGGGGAAGAAGAAACTATGAATATGTATCACTTGGATGTGATACTTTGCCTGTGCTCAAGGGCCGAACCCCAGTTCAATGTTACGCTGATTTTATGCGTGCTTTCCGAGACACTTTCAAGCACCTCCTTGGTGATACCATTGTGGTAAAGATCTGTCACCCTTTGTTTATAATTCTTTCTAAGTGCACTTTCCCATCTGATTTGTTATGCTCTATAGCTTTTACTTGAACTCCTATTAATGGCATAATTCAGGAAATCCAAGTTGGAATGGGTCCAGCCGGTGAGCTGCGTTACCCTTCTTACCCGGAGCAAAACGGGACCTGGAAGTTCCCAGGAATTGGTGCTTTTCAATGCTTTGACAAGGTATGTTTGCGGTTTTTTTCCTTATACCTTTTTACCCTCTGTATATGATTGTCTTTGTAATGTATTCTAAAGATTTGTTCAAAATTGATTTTTGTCCTGTTTCACAACCGATAATTTTTATATCTCTATAATTTTATTTTATTTTTTTAAGATTGATTTTTACAAAGTGGTTGATTTCATTTCTAACCTTATGTTTCCTATCCTATTGACTAGGGATAGGACCACATTTTTAGTAATACGATAACCAGAAATAGTTTTTTTTTTTAATATAAAAAAATGGATCCAAAATATTTTATATTTATTTACTTGGGACCACATTTCCAGATATACAAGAATAAAAAAATACTACTTTTTAAATATAAAAATAATAATCTAAAACACATTTTATTCTAAAATGAATTCAGTTTTTCTCTAGAAGTTAAAATCAAATTTTGTATTTAATTTTGACAGAAGTGTTCATCTAACTTTTCTGAAAACTTCGTTACATAAATTAATTTTAGTTTATGAGAGAAATTTATTTTATTTTAATTCTTATTTTCTTTTCGTACAAATACCTACTGAGAAATTTATTCGAAACCTATAGTTTTACTTTGCTTTGTATTTCTAACACTTAATTATGCGCTGTGGTGCAGTATATGTTAAGTAGTTTAAAAGCTGCCGCTGAAGCTGAGGGTAAGCCAGAATGGGGAAGCACAGGCCCTACTGATGCTGGCCACTACAACAACTGGCCAGAAGACACACAATTTTTCCGCAAAGAAGGTGGAGGCTGGAATGGTCCATATGGTGAGTTTTTCCTCACATGGTACTCTCAGATGCTGCTGGACCATGGTGATAGAATTCTCACATCAGCCAAATCAATCTTTGACAACCCTGGGGTTAAGATCTCAGTAAAGATTGCTGGCATTCACTGGCACTATGGTTCAAGGTCTCATGCTCCAGAACTCACAGCAGGGTACTACAACACGCGTTTCCACGATGGCTACCTGCCCATTGCTCAAATGTTGGCACGCCATGGTGCCATTTTCAACTTCACCTGTATCGAGATGCGCGACCACGAGCAGCCACAGGATGCCCTTTGTGCTCCTGAGAAGCTGGTGAAACAAGTGGCTCTAGCAACACAGAAGGCGCAGGTCGCACTTGCCGGCGAAAATGCACTGCCACGCTATGATGAATATGCTCACGAGCAGATCATACGCGCATCACAGTTGAATGCTGATGGTAACTCTGGTGACAGAGAGATGTGTGCATTCACATACCTGAGGATGAACCCTCATCTGTTTGAACCAAATAACTGGAGGAAGTTTGTGGCGTTTGTGAAGAAGATGAAAGAAGGAAAAGGAGCAAACAAGTGCTGGGAAGAGGTGGAGAGGGAAGCAGAGCATTTTGTGCATATTACACAGCCTCTTGTGCAAGAGGCTGCAGTGCTGATGCACTGAGAATTATTGATAGGGCTTAGGAAACAACAGTCACAAGTGGCTGTGTGAAAGTTTTAGTGAACCACCAGCCCAGGTTTTGTGGCTACGAAGATGTAAAATTTTGAATTACATTGTTGTTTTCTATTGTATGCACCTAAAACTTGTATTTGTTACCCTTCATATTCAGTATGTAATCTGTAGACATTGTGGGATATTTATTATCTGATTGTATAATGTAGTTACTTATTTCTGTATCAGTAAACTGAATTGGTTAAATGTAATTCCTCAATCGAGTACATGGCGTAACAGCAACATATGATATTTTCTTCTTTGAAAGAATCTTGCAAATCAATTATCTGCAGCTACGCTTCCCAAATCACCTTAACCACAACTTTTTAATTTCATTAACTTTTGCTTCAGATCGATGTACCTTTCTGCTCACAACATTTTTAATGTTCCTTTAACTTTTCTGCTCACATTCTCAACTGCATTAATAGAATTTGTGGCTAGAAACACCATGGAGAAAGAGAGGCTTTTTTTAATGTTTTTTACTGTCAAAACACGCGTGACATATCTATCAATCCATTAGTCATATTTTGGGAATCAATAATTGACTGAGACTTCTTTCACCTAACTAACAATAATAGGTCTAATGAAAAGGGTTAATCCTTCACATCATTGCAAACATATAAGACATATTTATGTGTTCCAAGGACACCTGTGTGAACAAAGATACTCCACATTGACACGGTTGATTACTCATCTTGGCTTTTGTCTTCTCTGGTATTTTTAATATTATAATTTAATTATTTAATGGATGTGTTCATAAAAATGTGTTGATTGATTATAGGGTTGATTAAAAACTAAAACCACTAGATAATGCTGAAACCTTAGCTTTGGATATAGAACCTGCCAAATAAACCGCTTCTAACGTCTTTCTCCAATAATTTCATAAAAAATGAAAGACTTGCAGAAAATTTCAGTACCACAAAAATTTCTTACCAACCATTTGTCCATTTGGGCAGAAGACAAAAGCATTTCAAGATTTTCTGCATGAAGTTGGTTGAGTCTAACCTCTTAATTTATTTTATTGGAGTCCATATTTGGTACCTCAAAAGTTGCGTGATGATCTACTACACCACACACCATTTGAATTAAGTATAAAAAAGAAATTGTCAAATTTTATAGATGCGTTTTAAACACCAGTGAGCTAAAGTTTTGGCAAAGAACCACTTGATGATCGTGATGACCGGCATATGTAACAAGATGAAACATGTCAACTAAAAAACTACACTGGAAACGTCTTTGATCAATGATTGTGACAAAAATATGATTCTTCAAAGACACGTTCACACGATATCATAAAAATATAAAAATTGAAATAGAGAGATTCTCCGAAAGTCTTGTACCTTAACACTGATGCTTACCGGTTACTTCTCCCACCAGACTTCTCTTCCATGATCTCCTGAAACATCAAAGTATGATTGCAAAATTATTCTATAGACAAATTTTTAAGAGAGGAGAAAAAAATCTTCAAAAAATAATTTTGACTAACGCAAATTATTTTGTAAAATATTTATTTTATTAACTTCTCTAAATAAATATATATAATTTATAAATTTTCTTATTAATTAATTTAAAATGTCATTTTTTAATTAATTTAGTGTTTATAGAAAAATTAATATATTACTTTTACTTATTCTTAACTTAGAGACTTGCTTTTTCTTATCGGAACATTATTTTTCATTATAAACAAAACTCTTGACATTTGTTTTAGAGACTTACTTTTTAATTATTATTATTTTAGTTAAGAATTCGATCGTTTGAATGAAAAAATAGAAGGTGAGAAGTGATTAGTATAAATAAATAAATATGAAGAAATGATTAGAGTGCAATAGATAATGATTTTCCAAATCACTCAATAAATATTATGTATAATTATTTAATGCCTAATTTATTTATTATCAAACATGATGATTTTTCTTTTTAATATAATTTTTTCTCAAATTTAAATACATTTTTCAATCTATTTTATTTATCATTTTCTCTTCTTATAGTCTCCGAGTTCTTATAACTTTTTTAAAAAATTTGGTGTTTCAAATTACTTGTTCATTATAAAATCATTTTTTGTGATTAGGTAATAAACATGATTTTATTCATGACTAACAGTGTTGTTGTCTTGTAATGAAAAATATATATATTTTTTTGTAATAACAAATATTATATTTTCATATGGGTTAGGAAGATGTCTTTTTTGTTCGGTTATAATGTTTTAGTCTTCTATCTTTTTATTTATTAAAAAAAACTATACTTGTAATTATTATAAAAAAATTGAATTTATTAAAAAAATAATAATTCACGTAAATTAAACTTTATTTTAATGTTAACTTATATTTCACTCTAATTAATTCTCATTATTTAAGTTTGCACAAAAAGTATTAAATTAAAAAATTAACGCAGCGTGGTAATTAGCAATACTTCCTTAATTCTTATTTATTAAACTTATCTTAAATTTAAATATATTTAATAAATAATAAAAAAATTGCATAAATTATTTATAAAAATATTATTTTAATAATAATTATTATAAATTATTTTAATTAATTGAAACAAATTACAATAGGTAACCACAATTTAATTTTTTAATAAATTAAATCATTAGCCATTAACCAATTTATCTTTTATTTAGTTTAAAATAAAAAAGAGGTGAGAAATCAGTTATACATTTATCACTAGTAAACGATATTATTTTTTACTAACTAATTTATCATAAGATCATTGACATAAATGAATTTAGTTTCTTTTTCATATTCTTTAGAGAAGGAGATAGTAAATATTTTATTCCTTAAATTTTGACGAATATCTCAAACTCCAAAAGAAAACATGTGATGATCATGATTTTAGGTGACCCTCTCTCTGTGGCACACATGATGAATATGTGATTAGGGTTTTTCAGAAGTTGGGACAACCCGTGAATTTTCTTACCTAACCCAACTTATAAAACATGGGTCATGTTGGATACATAATTTAGTTGAATATCAACAAAATCTAGAAACCTAGGAAATCAACAAGATACATGTGTGCCTGTGTGATAACGATTAATGAGTTAAAAAGGTTTCAAAGATCTTGTCTTATATATTTTAACAATGAGATTTGTTCGATAATTTATTTTCAAAAGATAAAAAAAAAAACTAAAAACTATCTCTTCTTAGAGATGGTGGTGGATTATTACGAATTTAATGATATTGAATTGAAAATTTTAATTTGAATTACAAATAATTGTTTTTTTACTTTTACTCTTCTATTATTTTTAAAAAACAATATCATATGTAACATCTGTTTGAATAAAAAAAATATATAAACGTTTATAAGAAAAGAATATGAAATCTTTTTTTTTCATAATTAAAATTAATTTTTATATAAAATAATTTGTAAAAGTTAACAATAATTTCTTTAAAATAAGATTTTCAATTTATGTATAAATTATTATTTTTTTAAAATCTTATTTTTTCCTGAAAAGAATTTATAATTTATCCAAACAAATTCAATGTAGTTTGTAATTAATTTTAAAACTATTTACGTTTACTAAGACTATTTGATATATTGTTTATTGGGCTTTATTGTCCATGGGCTGGATGTTCGGTTAAGTTAGTTGTGTGTCAAAATGGATCTAAAACATGTTAAATAAATTAATGCCAATTTATTTTTTTAATAAAATAAACTTTTTTTTATGGATTTGTTTAATTTATTTTCAAAATAAACTAATAAGGAAATGCTATCGCATGTATCTCTTCTACAAAATTGTGATAAAACTGAAAATTTCACTGATAAAATTTAAATTCAAAACATTCTTAACAGAGTTCAAATATAATTTTACCGAGACTAAACAATGTTTACTTCAAAAAAACATTTATTAATATTGCTTCTAATAATTTAGCGAAATCTCTTTTCAATCATGTTAAGAAATAATCAAATATGCGAATAATTTAATAATTTTATTGCAGTATCTCAAATGAATATGTTAAATCCAGAATTCATATGAACTAAAATAAAATAAATAAAATGTGTGTGAAATAAAAAAATCTTTTTATTATTATTAGTTATATTAAATTATGAGGAAAGTTTTATCTTTTCAAAAACATAGAAACCAAAGATTGATCTTCTAATAAAGTGTAACTAACTAAGTCCATACGAGACAGCAAATATTGGACTCGTGTTTCAAAGCCCACTTTCGGGTTTGCTTGGGTTGGGCCTTTTGCTAATTAAACCGAACAAAGTAATTTTTATATTTTTAAGTTGGAATCTAATTTTCATATTATCGACTAATTATAAAATACTGTACGAAAAATCTTTTACAACTATCTTAAAAGAAACTAAGTCAGAAAATCAAGCTTTCTCGGAATGTATGACATTTTTATTAATATCGGTTAAATAATTAAAACAGATAAATATATCGTTTTCTAAAGACCACGAATTTCTATTAAAATTTGTCAATTTTTTGAATTAGAATAACAACAAAAAGGGAAAATTTTCAAATTTAAAATATTATATGAAACAAAATAAAAATAGATATAAAAATGTGGATTAAAAACATATTAGAATGCAATTGATTTCCGATTCCGAGTATCACTTATCTTAAGTTACAAAATTAATTCGAAATTAACCAACTAGGCGAAGATAAGTCCCAAATTATATTTCAATCTAAAATTAATCAACTAAGTGAAGATTAATCCCAAATTAGCTTTAACCCTTGTTTCAATATGAAATTAACCAACTAAGTGAAGATTAATCCCAAATTTTCCTTAACCCTTATTCCAACATGAAATTAACTAACTAATCGAAGATTAACCCCAAATTATCCTTATATAATTAAGGATTGCATACATCACATAATCTCATCTCTAACACAGAATTAAGCAAACTAAGATATTAGTTTCGGTTTATTAAACATAAATAGATTATCATTCAATACTGAAATGAGAAACTGAAGAGTTAAGAGAACAAACGAAATAAAATTGAAG